GTCGTGGTCGTGGTCGTGGTCGTGGTCGTGGTCGTGGTCGTGGTCGTAGTGGTAGTGGTAGTGGTAGTGGTAGTGGTAGTGGTAGTCGTAGTAGTAGTAGTAGTAGTAGTAGTAGTACTAGTAGTAGTAGTAGTAGTAGTAGTAGTAGTAGTAGTACTAGTAGAAAAATGCACAAGCGAGGTAAATTTGCAAGTGCACAAGCGAGGTAAATTTCAAGTGCACAAGCGAGTGCTCGCCCTTCTGGGAAGCCTTTCAGCAAGATTTGTAAGCTGACTGGTTCGCCGACCTGTTTCAGGCACACTTCAGTCCCTGGTCCATGTTGATGTCCATTAAGCTACCCCGTCATCCCACGAGATTTCCAAGACCAGGTTGAAAGTGGAACGACTACAATTGCAGGTACTGCAAACCACCTCAAAACGCGGACAGCACGACACCATACGACACCCATGGACACCCTAAACCGTCCGAACTCGCTGCACCACAAAAGGCAGGAGGTAATCTTGGTACTTGGTACCATCATTTTCTCCAAAGGAAGTACCATGCCACTTCGACACAAGAAGTCCGACTCCCAGCCTCAATCAGGCCTCCTAGCAGGTTTCCATGCTCCGAGTGCATCTTGGCATCTTCCAGGTCGTGCACCCGCTGGGCTTTCTCTCGCCGAGCCCAGAGCATGAAATTGACCAAGTAGAACATCATGGCCAGGATGAGAATGAGACCCAGAATGCAGGCCCAAATCGGGAGCTGGAAACCATGAGAATCCTGAGATCCCGGCTTTGCCGCCGAAGTCAATAGAGACCAGCCCTGCAGAACCAACGCTTTGCCCGTCGCATCCAGACCTTCCAGGTCCAAAGCGGCCGTGTGGTTGGCCACCTCCAGCTGCACTTGCAACCACGAGGCTGCAAGCTCCAACGGTTCCTGCCACCAATGGGCAGGTGGTGCCACCGGTGGTGAGAAAAAACAACGAAGCGTCCGGAATTCTGGCCCCGTTGGGTCATGTTGAAACAATGCCATGACGACGAAACGTTTCAAGACAGGGCTCGGTTATCGTCATTTGCCCTCAGCCCGGCCAGCGCTGCATGGCCCGGGGGAGTAGGCGAGCGCTGGAAGGCGCACTCACCGTCTGAGCCCCATGTGGAAGTGAGTCACATTGACCAGCAGGCGTGGTGGGTGGTGGACCTTTCTAGAAATCGGTTGGTGGAGAAATACCGGGGTGGGATGGCGCCCAGTATGCGCATCTCTCGCATCTCTGGCATCTCTGCTCATTCGAATCATTGCAACCTTACAACTGCGAAGGTCTGATCAAGGGCTACCAAGTTTGTGGGTCCCGAGCAATGCCGACCCACACCGCGGGGAAAGCCAGGCGTCGCGAGGGCCAATGGGCTTGGCCAGGATGCGGCAGAGAGCTTCGGAGGCTCCAGAGGTGGAGGGAAGGCCTGGCAGCATGATTCAAAGACGACCTCCACCACCTGGAAATGACATCTGGTAATGTTTGGTGGTAGGTCCAGGTCTGCTCGAATCTCCATTTCCGGTCTTCAGCGTGGATTGGGCAATCTGCAGGTTCCGTCAAATTTTTGGCGTCAAAGAGTTGGTAGGGTAGTCCCGTCCTGGAGCTGGGAAATGGTACGCACGGAGGTGACATCACCATCCAGGTCGGCAGGCATCTTCAAGACAAAAGCTGGAAACTCAGTATCACAGCATATCACAGCATATCACAGGTCTCTCATGGTCCCCTCTTCACCGACATCTCCATACCGACATCACCGTGGGTGAAAGCCAAGAACCCCCGTCCCACCTCTCCGCTGCGCTTGTCGTTCCAAAGCCGCACCTTCGGATGCAGGCCCCGTCCCTCCCCGCCAGGCTGTCGGCCGCACGGGGGTGAACCACCCCGCACGGCCGCGCGTGCCCGTGTCGTTTTTGAGTGAATTCACGCCGTCAGCCGGTAGGTAGGTCCATGGTCAGCGATCCTTCAGTGCGGTGCACTGAAGATATTCCCCTAGAAAAATGGATCCATTCCACCACTGGCAGCTTGTTCATCCAAAAGCCCTCCCCAGCTCCCAGCGGCCCCCAGCAGTTCCCATCTCCAGACCTACAGCATCCACCGGCGTTTCCCACTGGCCCGGCAAAGCGCTGGAGGCCTCGATCGCATTCGACCGCAGCGATGCGCCAAACATGCGGAGAGTGAACGGAAGTTGAGAGTGGCCATATATATATATATATATATGTATATATACACTGTATATATAACACACATGAGAAGTACCAACAAAATGGACTGTGAAGTGCAGGAATGCTTCTGGTAGTTCGGCCGAACTTCACCATCAACTGGGTGTAAGCATGTCACTCAACAAAAGATGAGCCCATCTCTTTTTGCCCTCGCTTTTTCCGTCTCATTCCTTCGCAGTATGCACCGGACAAAAGTGCGTCGCCGGAAACCAGCCAGCTACTTGAACTCCATGAAATGCTCTGGCCGTTCATTCGGGAAAAGAACGTCACCCTTCACCCTTCATCTGCCGCCGTGGGACTGAATCTGCATCGCAAACACACCGAGCGTCCTGACACAGTCTGGTTTCGCTTCCTTGGATTCTCCCCCGGAATGGAGCTACTATAGGATTGGATTGGGTGGGCACAAGTGGCGTGCGATCTTGTGATACAACGAGAAAGTCGTGAACAACATTCTTTGGCAAACCAGCGCACTCCCCCCAAAAGGAAACGTGGTTGAGGTGTCTCCAAATCAAGGCGTCCCCGGCCTTTAGGTCCCTTCACTTTGCTATGTCATTGCTTGGGGCATGAAAACCAAGTGTGCGTATATGTTCATAATTACACGGCTATTGCAGCTGTTGGTTCCCAATAGTCTCTTTCACCATTCCTGTGTCGCAGGGGGGTTGCTTCTGCTTCAACGTCTGCAGGAAGCTGGTCTCTGCAAGCAACGTGCAAGGAGTGATATGTTCAAATGAGGCCATGCCCTAGAGCTCCATGCATGGAACATCCACTTATACAGACACGTTAACCCAAAAATAACCATCCCAATGTAATGTAGGCAAACATTCGGACATATGCTCAACATGGAGCGTCTGGGTTTGCAAACATCTGACACAACACAACACTCCTGGACAATGTCTCTTGCTCTGGGCTTTCTGGTTTGTACTGCCGCTCCTCCAACATCTCCTGCACCAAAGACTTCAGATTTGCGTCCTTGGAGTGCTCGATGCACCTTAGGCGGTTCATCAGGACGCCCAAAAAGGCCTGCTACCTCTGAGCCATGCCAATCAGAACATGTGTAGTTCATTCTTTTGTGCTGGTGTGCCGCAACTAGATTGCTAAACAAAGCAAACTCAACATTTGGAGGGTGTGAATACAGGCAACTAAGCCAGGTGGAATGGCACTAGCAGCTGGATTCGGTGCAGACTCTGCTGAGATCTGGAGGCCAAATTCGACGGCAAACATCTGGAAACCCCCTGAACGTCCACGTTTGCCAGTGGTTTTTGAGGTTCCACGTTCGATGCCGCGAGGGGTTTGGGAGGGAATTTTCAGGTCCTTCTCCCGGCCCCTTTTCTGGCCAATCCTCCTTGGCCACTCCGCTTTTCTCCGCTTTTCCTGTGACACACACAGCTCCGTAGACCACGGAAGCCCTCTTGGAGGGTCACGTGGCACCCAGGAGGAAAGCCACCGAGATCCGTGGGCCCGTCTCGAAGCCAGCCATCTTTGGGATGCCTGACATCTACAGGGGGCTTAAGCTGGTGCTTAAGCTGCATACTTGGTGTGGCACTTCAATGTGGCGCCCTGCATGCTTGTCAGGGGCAAGCTCTTTGTGTGTATATAAATATAAATATACACACACACATACATATATATATATATATACAGTATAACCCTTGTCGCAAAAATGGGGATGATTGGCGCTTGAAAGTCTGACATACACAAATGCAGTCATTCCCAACTTTTGTTTAATGTATTTGTTCAAGCGCTGACTAGGGTTTCCCCTCACCTCACCAGTTGTCTCCAAAAAAGGAGGAAAAGCGGTAACGAAACACAACAACATGACTAGTAAGGTTTGATGTAAGACGACCCGGAGCAAGAACGGGAACAACAACATCAACAATCATGAAAAAGCAATACACTGAGAAGGAACGAAAGCGTGCTTCTCTTTTCTTCTAGCGTCCATGGGTGTGATTCTGATTCCAGCGGGCATTGAAGAACATAGCGTCTCCACTCCTCAGCCAACGATCCTCTTGTCGCCCCTGGCAGCTGTCACCACATCGCTTGAGGGACGAGAAGTTGTCAAACATGCTGCACAAGCGACAGAGCCGACTGGAACCCAAGGAATAGCAAACCTGAGCTGGTGGCAAGGTGGCAAAGCATCGGGAAACCAAGGATGAGTTGCAATGGCCATCTTAACCTTTTGCCTGGGCCTAGGCACGTGCTAAGTCACATCCAAATCACCAAGGCTGCTCTGGATTCGGAATCTGAGCTATCCAAGATCCACTGCTGTGGGTGTTGTCCTAAAATGGTTGCACAAACATCCCCGGTGCTTCCTGACCACCGGATCCACTTGTAATACAGTATGTGAGTCAAATGAATTCATTGGGAGGGTTCCAGGTTCGCAGTTCAGCCTAGCCGCCGTGCCCACACACTCGCGGAAGGAGCACGCGCAGTTGGGGCCAGCTCGCTGCTTGGCCGAGTAAACATCTCCTTATTCTGCTTGTGTTCTTTTCCATCTTTTCCGATGATGAGGTGAGAGTAGAAGCTCAACGGATCAACTGCATGTTTACTGTAAAAGAAAGCTTCAGTGTCTGGCCAACCTTCTAGCTTGGCTTCTCCAAAAACAGTCCTAGCGCCTTCAAAAAACAGTCCCCACCGAACATTCATGAACATTCGTCCGTTCGTTTGCCTACTTCACCGAGTTCCGGTGAGAAAACATCCAGCTGAGACTCGATGTTGGTCGTGAAAGGACTCCCCATCCCGGTGGAAGTTCACTTGCACCGCCGAAACGAAGCCCCCGTAGGTCGTCTCGCTGGCCTCGACAAGTAGAGAAGCGGGCTTCGTTTAAAAAAGCATACCCGAGAGGTTCTACATTGAAGCCCTCAGTGGAAAGAGTAGATATTTTGCATCTGAAAGTGTCAAACCATGTTGTCCGTGTTCAATTGCTACTTGAAATTGCTTGTGACTGTGTCATATAATGAATGAAGGCATTACGGGGTGGAGGGGGAAGTCGAACTAAAAAGCCAAAAACTGGGGTAGGCAAACATCACCGGTGGATGAGTCTTTCAGAAGGCCCTTCAGCTTTTGAGATTAATCCAATCAACTTGATAGCTTGTGATGTGAGTGACTGGGCAATAGGCAGTGTATAATCCCTGTGAATAACTTGCCAATCACCGCGCAGTGTAGACAAAACATGAGACACCCGAACACCCAACATATAGTATAACCACAGCAACACCTAGTTCACGTTTGCAAACACTCTCGTGCTGCAGAACTTGCTTCACCAGGTTTGAAAGCCCATCTCGATCCATTCTGATCCAAACCCCTTCTACTTTTGATGGAGGCCCACCCAGCACTCCGCACACCGGACTCCACCCACCGCACGCCTCCACAAGCTTCAACATCATCTGAGCACAATGCTCTTGCCCTGCCCCTTCCAAGGTTCGCACCAAGGAATTCACCGACTGATTCCTAGGGCGAACCCGAGGCAAAAGAGGCACCCTGACCGGTGAAGAGACGCCGTGGGAGACCGGGAAGGAGGATTTGGCGAGACCCACGGCACAAACAATCCATACACCGATGTAAAATAGGATGGCACAACTGGGAATCCACCAAGAATATACCTCTCTGACGTACGGCCGGTCAGAGAGGGTTTGGAAACAAAGACTCCAAAGGCACTGACGTGCGGCCAGGTGTCCGGTCAAAGGCACTGAAAATCAATTTGCCACCAGCTGGCCAAACCGAACCCTCTTCAGAGGCCAAGGCTGCCTCGGGATTTCCCATCGAACGTTGTTGCTCAATTAATGTCATCGCTTCCAATCGAGGACTCTACTGACTCAAGGGAGATAGTCACTCGAATTACTAGAACTGTTGTCACCTCAGCAAATTGAAATGCGCCACCTCCACCAGCTTGTCAAACAGCAGCCGATCTGAACCAGGCCCCAAGTGAGCATCCACCGCCTGCGGTGTGATGCTGAGGATCTCGCCAGGCAACACCTAGCAGGGCCAAAGGCAGAGCAACAGGAGAAGGATGGAGGATGCTGACTGTGAAACTGAAATGCTTAAGTGCCGTGAAGGGTAGAGAGGTGTTCTCCTGGGGAATCAGAGGTCGAACACATTGATGGCCATTCTGTAACGGATCATCCATTCGTCAAGGCTGGAAACAAGTGGAAACCCAAGAATTGCAACACCTGGTCAATCAAACAATATTCACGATAGTGGTGATATTGGTGTACATTAGAAGTTCGCACTGTGAAACACCTGTGGTCTGTGGTCCTGTCTGCAACGAATGTCAAAAGTCCCCCACCTCATTGCTGGAGCAGTGAGTGTTCGGGCAAGGCTGCTCTGTATCGGAGCTTATCGGCCGTGTGATGAGGTCCCAGCTCATTTGCCGCCTGCCGGGCTGCTATGGCTGCTATGCAAACACAACCTCGTTCTATTCCAAAGCACCGTGGTGGGAAATGTTGCCCACTCCATCCACCTCTGGACCATCAACCTCACCACTGCGGTGCTATCTACTATCCCGCCTCAAGTCTTCTTTCCCACACCCTGTGGCCACATGCATCCGTTGCTTTCGCATGAGCTTCAGCTTCTCCTCCGCCCGCTCCAAGTATTCCAACTCCACCGCAGCCAAGCGTGCCTTCGTGACCTGGCCAACCCAGAGGGTGTGAAAATGGCCAACGAGACGACTGGTTCCTCCCCAAACCCATCGTCTGGAGACAGAAACAGAAACATCCACATCTGGAGACGATAGGTCTTTGGGTGCAAAGAGTCCCAGGCAGATCCTTTTCTGACTGACGCCGGCCGCACCTGTGCAAAGAGCCCATCGTAGTTGTCGGCCTCCTGGGCATCTGACAGCGCCTGCTGCTGACAGGAGCGTTTCACCTCGGCCGCGGTGGCATCTCTCAACTGGACGAAGAAGACCTCAGTTGTTGACGAAGGGCATGGTCTGCTGAGCATGGCTTGTGTTTAACATGTAAAATTGATAGGATCCTACTGCAGCAATGTCCAATGACGTGAAGCGTGGGCACGGGGATGTTCGGATCCTTCGCAGCTCATTCCCGTGATTCCGCGCCTGGGCCCATCTGGTGGGTCATCCAGGTGTCCAGTGTCTGAAAAGTTGTTAGAATCCACTCATTCGTGGTTTCATTTATCAAATCCAACCTGAGGGTGAGAAAATAAGAAAGACAATCGCCAAGAAAACAACTCGGAAAGGCATTGCCCTTGAAAACTCCGAAACCATGTTTAACTTGTGTGTTTTCAACGGGCCATGTCCATCTCTCAACATGTGCCTGTTATAGAAGAATGAGGGAACGCCCAATGGAATTCTTGAGTCCAGGGTTGTTGGGGTCTGTGGGGGATATCTCATCACATCCCAATTAATTCCGGAGAATTTGCACAACGGCCACACCGAGCTGCTCCGCCCGACAGCTCCAGATCTGCTGCTCGACCCGTGCTGGGGCGCTCCGCGGAGCGGCGCCAATCCCAGTGCGGCGTGGCCAGAGCGGTGTAGCGCCAACGACCCGCTGAGCCAACGAAGGTGGAGCCAGCTTTGGTGTGAGCCACCTTGTTGAAACTGAGTTGTGAAGTGGAGAAGTCCAAGGAGAACTGAAATCAAAGAGAACTCTAGATGCACAATGAATGAATTCATATATAATCATGAATTATATATGTATATGATATGTATATATAACACTATTATATAACTTATAACTTATAACCATGACATGTTCTTGCAACTCTGGGGTTGTAAGAAACACGGTCGCAATGGATCATCTGCATCTCATTACGTCTCTATATAATGCTAGGCACAGCCCATGGAATAGGTGCGAACTGTTCCAAGCGAAGCTCACCCTCTGTCTGATTTCCCTGAGCTCCAGCAGGCAAGGTATAGGTGATTTGCTCCATGCTGCTTGCAGCACAGCTCAGCACTCCATTTGCCTTGATCTCACTACTGGACACCACCTCCACTTGAGTGCCAAAGCTCTCCTGAGGCAAGCCGATGTTGTACCAAAAAAGAAAAAAACAAAGCCTTCAGCCTTTCGGGAAGGCGTTCTCGAAAAAAGGCACACGGTGAAGAACCCTTCCACAAGACAGCTCGAAATCCACAATTTCAGAGCTGAGTCTCTGGACAGGCAATCCGCAATCGAAAGAGGACTGGGCAACTTTGTACCGGGGCACTTGGGGTGCTCAGCAGCAGTGCCAAAGCTGCAGTGGGTAGCTGCCGCCCGTTGGGCTCCAGCGAGGAGAAGGAGCCGCTGCGGACCACGGGCTTCTTGGGACGCTTTAGGATCGCATCCATGGCGTGAAAATCGGCATGACTGCGGCAGCCTTCTACATCTAGGTCAGAAGATGTCAGAAGTACATTTTGAGCTTCAGGGTGGGGCTACTGTAATCCCAAGGTTGCCGCGGTCCATTTGCTGGTGGCGCTCCCCTCGACTTGTGCCCAATGAACATCGGCATAGAAAGGGTTATGGGGCCGTTCCGGATGCATTCAGCCAAACCAATGGCTAAGTCGACCGTGAACCCGGCCGAGCTGTGACATGGGATCCCCGGCAAAGTGGATATCACAACCCATCAGTGCAGTGTGGCGTCCCGCCGTACGTGGCACCATGCCCTTGCCGTCTGAAGAACCGAGCATAGCATAGGCTACCATGACGGTGACCTGCTGTGGATTTGCTTGTCAAAAAGCCCCCTCCCTTCATTCGTCTCCTGCGTCACCAAGCATATTACAAAAACAGCAGCAGCGGGTCGCACAGAACACACCGAGATCTGCGTCAGTCTTCCCAGCTTCTCCCCAGTCCACCTCACACCCCGACTTACCACGAGCCAAGCGGCACCAATCAAACCTCATCCAAACACCTTCGAATCCCAGGGGCTCTTGAAGCTTCTCCGTGTCCCAGGCCACATAGGTCACGTCCTCCAAGGCCACCTAGGTCACACCCACCGAACGCGCTGAACATGGGAAGAAAAGGAACAAAAACAGCCGCCTGGGCATGCTTCTTCCAACATCCAAAGTAGGAGGATGAGGATGATGACTTAGGAGCTTGAACCCAAAAATCGGTCAAAACAGTGAATTTAAGAGCTTCAACTGGGAATAGGAGTTTCAATGAAAGGCAGTTCATCTGCAGGTTCTGCATGGCCATAATAGAATGCACCACTTTATGCAACCAATCAGGCAGGCTGGGCTGCAGCATTCTGTGCCAAGCAGCTTCTTCAGGAGGCTGCTGGCTATCACAGCAGGAATTCAAGAAGGCACCAGGAAGAAGCTCGACCTCAGGAAGGAAGCCCCACGAACTGGTGCATGGTGCATCATCAAAGAGTGTGGCTACCGTAGCCCTGGCGCGCAACCCTCGGGCCAAAACAAAAGCTGTCAGGTGGAGAGGGCTCGCATGTGTCAGGGGGCGATTTGTCCGGTGAAACTCGAGATATGCCTGATACGGTCGCGGGCAAAGAGAAATCGTTGGCATCTCCTGCCTCGTCCTCTCCATGCTTCATCACCACCTGGAGGTGAGCGGTGCGAAGGAGAAGAACTGACCTGAATTGAATTGTTCAATGTTTGCCTCACGCAAAGCAAATAAACTATTCAATTAGGTACCACTTCTGCTGCTCCGCAGTTGTTCTATGTTGTTCCCTCACGTGGGAAAAGATCATATCAATTCGAAGCCTTGGGAACTGGGGAGACCCAGGCACAATCTCCACGGTCGTTACAATCTAAAAAGAAGTGAAGAGTGACACTGACACCGCCAACAATTCAGATTGATGAACAATTCATCTAAGTCTTGCTCACGGAGAGGCAGCAAAACAACTAGCTTGAAAAAGCCACCCCTCACCACCCCCACCGTCGTGACCGTGGCGTCTAAGGCCTGCCTTCCCGCGCACCAAGATTTGAAGCTCTCCCTTGGCCTGGCCGGGCGTTTCTGTCACCGGCCATGGGGCCTTCAGGAAAGCCACTGCTTTCTGCAGCATCATGTTTTCCGGAAAGCCACTGCTTTTGGCACACCGTGTTCATCACGTCGAGTTCCTGTGCCTTGTTTTTGCTCACGTGTTGGCAACATCCGCTGTCGCAAAGAACTGGGTTCAGCCAAACACCCAGGATCTCCATATGGCTCCCAGCCTCCGGCAAGGGCTCCCCAGCTGAAACAGAACCTTAACGAAAGTCACTCAACCTACAAGACACTGTTGAATCTCAAAAGTCCGTGTTCAGCTTCGGCTCCTCCGAATTCCGGGTATTTCTGCGAATTCAGGTGCACGAAGGCCGAAGGCGGTCGGTCGGAAGTTAGACCCGCCAACGTTCCAAAACGCGCCAGACCTGGTTTTGGCCAGGCTGGGTAGGCTCTAGTAAACGGCCTGTGGCCAGTTTGACAATTCGAGGTTCCTCCAAGCTGGGGCTTCTGTCCTGCCATCGACATTCAACAACCCAAAAAGCCTAAGCTCTGCCCTCACCTCAGCTGGCAACGTATGCATAGCAATGAATAAACAGAATCTCCGCCCCTCGTATTCAGATGTATTCAGAACAATGTGGCTGGCGTTTTGACTTACGGGAGTGCCAACCACATGTCTGTGTGAATTCACCCCTGCCCGTCCAACCATCTCGGCCGGGAAACCCCAGTGACAATCAGCTAGATTGATGAGCTTGTGGAAGAGGCTCTGGGAGCAGCCCTGCACTCAGCTTAAGCTCCCCGATTCAAACAGATTGACAGCTGCAGCTCACTCTTTTTTCATGTCAATGTGAATCTCGCAGCCATCCCAGGAACCATCATAGGAAATAGGGACCTCCGATCCCTTCAACCACGACTGCATTGTAGGACCCATCAACCAATAAGGCCACAAGAAGGTGGGCCTGGGGCCAACGCTCCCACATGCCTTGGACAGGAAGTAGCGTACATAGAGGAAGGCCTGTGCAAACAGGGATTCGACCCACAACGGACTTGGCAACAAATCATAGCTGCCAAGTTGGGGATGCATAGCCTTTGGCTCAGGGTTCGTTTGCCTTGGGGCCTTGACCACATTAAAGTACGGTACAACGACGTGTTCCTCGGGGTGTTCGTCTCCGCATAGCGTGTCCGAGCGTTTCAACTTGATGTCTGAAAAATACTAAATCCACTGATCATGATGTGGCTGAAAAATTACACTCAAAACCACTGGACAAAAGGAAAACATGGAAATACGATGAAATACCTCGCCACATCCGAGAAGTGTTTGGGGGACGGTGGCCACCTTTGTGTGACCTTTTCGGCGTCTGCGGCCTCCTCCACGTCCAATGCCACAGAGTCCTAGCCGCCCAAGAGCTGGATTGATATGTTTTTTCATGCGCGTTAATTTTATTAGGTAGAGGCTACGGTAGAGGCCTCGGCCTCCAACCTAATAGCAATGGCCTCCAACCGAAAAGCAGCGGCCTCCAACCTAATACCTAGAACCTAGGTAGAGCTACAGGTGAGAGGCATTTCAGCTCCAGTCCTTTTGAGTTTTTGCCAAGCCCAATGCACCAGAGACCAAGGCGGGGAGGATCACGCTGGCCTGCAAGCTGCCAAAGGTCCAGGTCACGTCTGCTTGGATTCACCTAGATCATATTGTGGAGCGAAAATCAACATGCTACAGGTGGTGTCTGCAAAGGGGTGACGATTGCGGCAACTGCTGACATGAGAGGACCTGTATTTATACCAAAACTGTGGGTGTGCCTCACCTGGAGCAGTTTTAACCAACAACTGCGCAAATCTCCGTTGTCGACCTGTGCCTTAAAACAATTCAATCCGCCAATCATGAACACAAGTATCTGAGCAAACTAGAACAATTCCTAGGTCGTTTGTTATTCTTGTGTGACCAAAACACGAAAATATGTTACGTCGTCGAAAGGAGGACATCGTAACAACAATCAGCCCTTGAAGCAATTCTCCTCCAAATCCTTCACTGCGCCCATGAAGTCGTCCACGGCGTCGTGCATCTGGGGCCAACTCCGTAATGGAGGGTGGGGTCGACAGATGGATGAGCTTCAGGATGGTCTCCAGGCAGGATGTCATAGGATGTCCAGCATTGATTCATCCAAAAGGGCCACGGGGCACCGCTGAAAAAGAAAACTGCCAGAATGGACCTAAAGTATTGATATTTTCGGGGAGGATTGGAGGATTCTCGTGGACGGTGGAGGTGTTTCAAATGCTGGAGCTATGATGGATGCATTTTGGGGAGAATCCGTTATTCATTCGGCCGTTAATCAGTTTTGGAAAGTGCGTGCCCTTATTCAGAGAGAGTTTTTCAATATTATGTTGACATCAAGAGTCGGTGGGGCAGTTGTGAGTGTGGCTCAAGAATTCCTAGGCAGGGCCATGCTGGCTCTCTTTGTGCAAACATGAGCCTCCGCTGTCCCACTTTGAAGCCTGAAACACGTTTATATAACTTTAACATACTTTAACTATACTAGTAGGAACTGAGGAACCACCTTGGAGCAAAAAGAGCCCTGGAATGGCTCCATCTGCCGTAAAGGTCCCAACCCTGCCGCTATCTCCGCAGCTCTCGCTCGCCACACCCAGAAACGCCTGCTCAAAGAAGGCGGCATCGGCATGGAACTGGCTGTGGTGCAGCAGCACCTGGGTGCGGCATCGCTGTCTGGAACCAGGAGCAAGGATGCTACTAGGGGCTCCTGGCCTTACTACTAGGAACAAGAAGCTACTAGGAGCTCTTACACGCAAGATCACCTAAGTTCTTCTCCGACTCGAAACACGACTTTCGTTGCCACTATGGTACAGCCGCGATCCCGGCCACGGTGAGGGAGGCTTCAGTAGCAGTAGCCAGTTCCTTGTGGCCCAGGTCGAGCAAGCCTGGGACTGCATCTTGGAACCCGCAAAGGAGCGATTGCCATTCACCCCCTACATGAGGTACCCCCATGTTAGTCTGGGGCAAAGAAGTGACACATAATAAATGAAACAGGGGCACATCTGAACATGGGTGATCAACCATTGAACTGACAAGCACTCCTTGGTGACAACACTCACCCAAACCTCCCACGGTTCTCGCACTGAACCTTTTTGATAGATACTCGTGCATTATGTCTGTTGCCCTCCAATTCAAACAACTGCGAACTGTTGTTGAAAACCTGTTTTATGCATGCAGTCCCAACCAACTCTTTCCCACAATCCCAAGCTACCTTGGCTTTTATCAACACACCAACGGACTCTCTCGCTTGACCTTGCACCCATTAGCCAAGTCTCGTTGGACTTTGTGGCCAGGACTGCCTGGCTCACAAGCCGTGGGCTACCACGGAAAACTGTGGGGGTTGTACAGCATCCACTACTCTAACCACCTATGGACTAGCTAGAGGTGGTTTTGCAGTAATACAGGAGGTGATCCTTGGTGGACTTCATTGGAACCACCTCGTCACCTCACCACTCCTGAACCGTCCCACAGCCATCCCAATCGCCGCTCCTGGCTCCTGCCAACACTCGTTGACCTTTTCGCCAATTTGCACCTCAAGTGGGGCGAGATCGTTGGGAGACCAAGGGGGAAACCGATCAAACCCGAAGGATTGTGCGGTGACACCCCAGACCCTCCAGATGATTCACCTCGAAAGGATGGGCGAATGTCCCGCCCAAAGTGGCGTATTTTTGCCCGTCAGGTGCGGTCCTTTGACAGGTGCAGAAGCTCCATGTCCATCCCCCCAGGATAAAATCCTCACAGACTCAGTAACGTATGGCCTGCCAACGGTGAGGAACTCTGTGGCCTCTGAATTGTGGCAGGGCACCGCGGTATTCCAGCCGATGGCTGACTTCACCTTCTCCTCCAGGCAGACTGCAGTCCGGGTGTCCCAAGACATACTTGTGGTCATTAGTTTGCAATTTTACACTTGGTTGGAGCGCCTTTCATCCCAGGTCCCCGCCATAGAGGAGGCTGCAGAAGCGTTGTCGGGATATGCTCACAAGAAAGGATTCGTGACCAGCACGCTCTCATTCACATGTGGGTGACTCACCCGTGCTGAGACTGGTGCTCTTGTGTTGTGACTCCGATGTTGCACCATGTCTAAATATAGACGAGTTGGCGTCAGCCCACGGGCGAATCCTACAAACCAAGTCATTGGCTTCGGAGTGGAAGTCTCAACGCAACAATGAGCTTCCACCCAGCCCCTGCGATCACAAAAAGCATCCTGCATGGCATTGACAGCAGCGGAGCACTTCTCCTGCACCAATGCCGGACACGAATCGCATCCATTTGCATCCCAAATGTCTATGTAATGTCCTTCTTTTCCAAACTCCTTCGCTCGCTGATCTTGTGGGAGAACACTCCCCCGGCCCCCGACACTCCATTCCACACTTTAGGACCTCCGACAAAGGCAGGAAAAAACCACAGTGGTCCCCGTCCACCGGCCCCTTGTCTCCTCCAACGTGAGCTCAGAACCTGGGCATCAACGGCAGTTAATCTTAAAGGGCGAACCCTCTCAGGGAAAAAGACTTATCTCAGCATATGAATCTGAAACCCCAAAAGGCGTTGGAACCTGCCGTTGTCTTGTCTTCGCAGTGCAAATAAGAAGCCATCCACGTTGGCCAAATCCTGCGGAAACAGTAGCAGTAATTAGAAATCTAATGTTTCGTCTTTTACCATTCTAAACCTCAAAGTCATTTGAGGGCCGTTGGTTCATGATGGTCGTGAGCTTGCCCAACGTGAGTTCGGAATTGTATAAGATCGAATCCAAAACCGAGAGCGTCACCGTGAGCGTACTTCAGAAGGCCAACCGGGCTTGACAATAGGACACCCTGAACGTTCGTCCACCCCTCGAAAGATCGATACGAACGTGTACTGCGGGGGTCGTGTACGCAACGTGCACCGGCTTGGGGGCGCGACGGTTTTGGACACACGGGGAGCCAAAACAAGTGTTACGAGAATGGTGACTCTGCACTCATCCATCTCCATTAGAAGCCTCTCAACTTCGATATGCAGTTCGCAATTTCTCTACACTCAAAAGTCTAGAGTCTAGGGAAGGAGAGACCTTTCTGCACCTCACTGGTTTTTTCTTGAGGTCGTTCATGGTGTTTCAGCAGGTTCCATTGTCCATACCATTCTTTTGTCTGTATGTCTCACTTGTTGGATAGAAACGCCCGGAACAACAAATAAAGCCATGCACTTCAAGCTCTCTCCATGCCTCAACCTCACAAGAACGGCAAGTCTTCTGAACATTCTATAACATTCCAAACATATATATATATATATAGACGCATCTGAAGGCTATCTCATGTCATAAAATGGGCAATTTGCATGATTAGCGCTCTTTGGGGGTAAATGATCAACAATTGGCACCCGAAGTTCTCGAAGGCTCTAACATAAATCGGGGACATGTTTGGTGACATTGACACACCTCAGGTCGCCAAGTTAAAGCTCCGGTGTCAAAAGTCAACGAATTGAGTCAACAAATGCCAGTCGCCTGAAGTCACCCAAACCTTGCCGCAACCATATACAACAGTCAACAGTCCAACATGATCATTTGTCAGTGTGGGCCAATAGGGAAAGATACAAGTATCTGCAATAAAGTTGCCTTTCAACACGTTACCAGCCCCCAAGGCTACCGAAGCTACCAGCTGAACATTGGCCTCACACATCTATAAAGCCCATTGGACCCGACGCGATCGAACCCGCTCAAAGCGCTCCTCGCGCTCCAGGACCGGTGACTCCTGTTCACACCTCAGAGGCCAAATGCTCGATGAATTCTGAGAGCCCGTGAAAGTAATTCGGAGACCTACAAGTATGCAGGTCCCCGTCCCCGCCCTCGGGCAACGCATGGCGCTTCCAGGGCTTTGTGATGCTTCGTGGGCTAGAGTTGCCGCAGTCGACAGCTCAAAAGCAAACTGTTGCAAGTTGGGGTGGTTTATGGAGATGCCACCCCTTCCCAACAAAACTGGACAACACCTTCCTGGCCCCTTCCGCCCAGGCATGCCCAGGCACACAGGCCCCAAGAAGCGGAGCAATGAGGCCGTCCTCGGTGCTGCCGGCACGGTGGGCTGCGACGAGGGACTGGGAGGCTCTCACGACTTCAGCGTACTGCACCAGGACATGCAACCTCTCCCTCTCTGCCTTTGACATAGTTGGATATAGTTGGATTGTCTAATCCGGATGGTGACTAGCCACAACTAACCACCATGGCAAGCATCTCTTCGATCCCCATGTGGATGTCAAAGCTTCGTAGTGCCTCAGCACTTGCATGCACTTGCAATGCATGGCCTCCCCAGCGTGCCATGATCGACTCCGAAATCCCGACTGGTTGTCCTGTGTGGGACCGTCGTGAGTTGGTTCTTCTGCGTTGACGGCCGCTGGTCGCGACCAAAGCTCCTGGAAAACGTCCAGTGGAAAGCCGAGAATCTGAAGAGAACTCCTCAACAGACAAGACACCTCAAGTGGCGAAAATTCCACAATGACTTGTTACCTGGCAAGCTGAACAAGTCGCGTAGGAATAAATCGACACTCAACGCGTGTTCGCGTGCTCCCCTGTTCTCTACCTGCTTGTGGAACTCTTGGTGGGAGTCATTTAGGATGCCCTAACCAGCCAGGACACCGTCGTCGTTGCGATCAAAGCGATCAAAAGCGGTGGCCATGATGATACCTCAGCCGTCAAGCAGGGCTCAACTGAAAGCTGTGGCACTTCTGATGGACACATTGGTGAACGTTGCATATAACCCGACTGAAAAGACTTGGATCATGCGAAGTTACACATGAGCTCTCGGAAAGGCCCAATCCTCCAATTCCTCTGGATCGAAGAACGTTTTTTTTTTTAGAACAAAAAAGTATTAAAAGTATTAAGAAAAAACAAATGGACAAATGGATAAAGATATACAGAAACATTCATGGTATAATCCGGTATACGGTTTATATATATATGTGTGTGTGTGTGTTAGAATATATATATTTATATAACTATATTACTAACTATATATGTGACAAGTCTTACAATCATCTGTCAGTTCATGAAGCCTTTGTACCAGGCCTGTCGCCCATCCAAATGCACAAATGCAGGATCCTTCGACTGCAGACGGGCTGCGGAGTTGCGGAAGCGACAGCTGCGACCCACATGAGGTCAGAGCACACAAAAGCTCCCGCATTCCAACCTCAAAGGAGCGTCTGCACGAGTTCTGTGCTCGGAACTGCCAATCTGCAAAGCTTCCGGTGCCCAAGACTGCCTCGCTGGAAACCCAGCCTGTCAGGCACCAGGAAAATATTCACAACAGTTGGTCCTCTTTGGCCTAGGTCCTGCTTTCATGCGCGCTCTAAACATTCCTCTGACCAAACTTTACTGCTCCTCCCACCCCGGTGAACCAAAAACCTGCACGCTCCAAGAGCCACAAGCCAAGGAACTGCAAAAGACTGACAAGAGATCTCATCCTTGCCATTCTGACTGAGCATGCTGTAGATGCGTTCCGCATCACTGTCCTCACACCAGCTCCGGAAAGCTCAGAGTGAAACCACCCCAAAATTATCCCTATCATTCCCTATCAGTGCCTAAAACCCCAAAGGAAGCCAGCCAAAGCGCGGTTGGTTGCAAATGCCTTCCTAACAGCACGATGTCCTTGTCATGATGTCCATCCTCCCGTGCCCAGTTCCTGCGTTGCGCGTTTCCACCCCCCCCGGTCCTGGAAGCCGACCTGTTTGGTCGCTCGATCCGACGGATCTGACTGTTTCCGACATCGCCCGTCGAGCGACCAAGTCGTAGGAGAAATCGACTACAAGTCCAACCATCAGATGTTTCTCGAGTGTGCAACAGGGTTGTTGAGCTGGTGCGACCATTAAGAAGAAGACGCCCCCCTTGAGTGCCAGAAGACTTTAGAAGATGACAAATTGTGACAACTTTGTGTTTTCTATTTGTAGCCTGTATGATTCACATCCATCGTGCCACCCCCTGAAACCCTCAAGCATTCAACTCGTTGGCTTTCTGTTCTCAGGTGAAAATGGCAACCTGATGATAGGCAAATGCCTCCCAAAAAGCTTGAGAAAGTGATGAAATGGGAATGACATGCCAAGCATGTTTGCTTGGCCCAGGCTTACAAGGCTTCTTCTCTTCGTCTTTATGGGCCCGTTCTTTCTCTAATAAGCACACTGGCCTCGCATGCTTATCGTGTCGTAGCAATTAATGATCATGCCATTTGGTGAAATTTTCTTGTAAACCGGGTTCCATTCAAGGAGCCCTGAAACCCCATGATTCAATTGGAGCTTGTTGGGACCTATAGCCTATAGTTCACTCCTGCCTTGCACGTGCGGTTCAACTCCTCGGTGGCCTTGGGAGCGCCACAGCATGCGATTGTATGATATATGCCGCTCATCAATCGCCATTGCCGTTCGCCGTCTACTTCCAGAAAATACTAAAAAGACTAAGCAAAGCACAGCGGTCCTCAGGCAAGCCTTTTCGATCTCCATCTGAAGTAGGAATAAATTAACAATACGTGTAGTCTTACCCCCTATGTACCCTCCCTTTTGGGTGCTTGGATGGTTCAATTGGTGCCAACTCTCTTCATTATGCAGTGAAATAATTCCTTCCCACCTCACCATCCAAGGGGCCGCGTGCACCGCAGCCTCACAGCCTCAGTCGCCACGGATGAGAAGACCACCGATCCGTCCCCGACGGAGACGGGCCACGTGACGGGTTTGGTGCCCTTTGGCAGTGTCACAGGCAGTGTCACCTGCGTGAAGCTTTTGACTTGGCTTGATGCAACTTGATGTTCGTTCGTTTTGTGAAATGACTTCAGAACTCTCGTTCGCGATCCACTTGAGTAAAAATTGTGAGTGAGTGGGCAACGTTTTCAGTGGCTTCTTTTGCAGATGCATATCACAATATATCACCGCCCTATGCAGGCATGTCTGGAAGTTCCTAGACAGCACCCCACGGCACGCAAAGTCTTGGAGTTCCCAACTATCTGCTAGATTGCTAGATTCAATGAGGATTATTGGCATGGATATTAAATAGCCCTCCGCCATCCGTCCAGATTTGAAGCTCAGAGCTTCCCCATACTTCACCCTAGGGAAGGCACACTGTTGGCTGCTGACGAGGCCATAGTAAGGATTAGGTACACTTGGGATCCGTGAGCATACGTCCACCCTGCCAACCAAAAAAAGAAAACAAACAACAAGCTGAATACAGCCAAAGCGGCTCTCCATTTGTGAAACCTTTACAATAAACATCCTGGCAAGACTCAGCAGTCGAGGCTGTTGACTCTTGACAAATGTCCAAGCTCTTAGGTGGAGCGGTACAGTTGTGGACCCGTTTCACACATCACAAGGAAAGGTGAGGCGGGTTAAGGCCTGTTTTCAGTTCAGCTGGTAGAAAACTGGACAAGTTGGCTACTGCAGCACCATACTCTTGGTCACACAAGCGAGGTCAAAGCAAAGCTAAGTTGGCCCATAAATCATACAGCAAATCCCTGAGCAGTACAATCACTGGCTTTGATGATCGGCCCTGACAGCGTCGATGCAGCTTGTAACATGAAGGTGACCGGCACCCCAAGTCCTGCGCAAATTCTGGACTGAAGGTATTTGGGAAAACACCTCCTCCGCCAGTTGAGGCCTCAGATCCAGCACCGGAAAAATAAGACTCACCGTCACGGTCAGTCGCCACTCTTCAGGGAAACTGCTGCGAAACGTGATCATTGTGGCGTTCATTGTCTGCCTTCTCACAGTCGCAAAAAGGTTGGCCAGGGCACTTGGAGGAAAGCTCTGGTGTCCAGCCTGGCTGTACAAAACCAATGGTGAAGATGGATCCATTCAAGATTCAAGATTGGTCATGTTGCATGTTTCATCATGTTTCTGTATGTGTCTGCCCGCGGCAGTAGGTTGGAAGAGACGCCGCCATCTTGAAAAAATAGATTTCTGAATTTGAGCACCTTTTGGAAGAGGAATGAAGCGGACCTATCTGCTGCTTGTGGTCAACGACTGAAAAATTGGCGGCTTTGGGATCTTTGAGCGGTTCCCACATTGCAGCTTCGAGTCAACCTACCATACGGGTGATGTGCTCGTCCTGCAGTGGTCATTTTTCCTTCTTCATCGCCTTCGTCATCGGCGCGCTTGACGCCAAAGAACGCAAAAGCGCTGCCGCATACGAATTAAGTACTGAGAAATACTGAAAGCAGCAATGAATTGTATCAATTGTGGCTGCTCATGGTATCTTACCATCAGCCAAGGAGCACTGTTGCTACCCCTCCCGGAGGTACTCGACGAGCTGGTGTTGGCATGCTTTGCAAAGCCTCAATCTGTTCAGATTTCTTGGCCTTCTGCTGAGCCATCTCCTTCGGATTTTTGAGGGTCTCCTCGGTCTCATCCACCGATCCAATTTCACCCAGGATGACACCTGCAGCGATTGCCTCATCCTGGTAGTTCTCGCCCAAGATCACACCTGCAGGTTTGGCTTCGGCTGTGCTGTGGCAGTCCTCGCCCAAGATGACACCCGCATCAACGGAATCCTGTGTGTTGTTCTCACCCAGGACGACCACTGTGGCACTACCCTTCTTTACTGGCACACTGCGCTTGAAGGATGGAGAATCATTTCCCAAGAAAATGGTTGATTTTCCACCTGGAGGAGCCAGAATCGTCTTGCTGGGGCGCTCAGTGAGGACGTTGCCACTGTTTTGGTTGGCGTTCGATGCGAAGGCATTGGATGAGATCGTCTTGAGCTCCGCTGCATCCGCACCAAGGCAAATCGTTGAAGCTCCACCGGGTGCTTGGCGGACGGCCATGTCGGATGAGATCTCCTGCAGAATGGGTCGGGCTTTCCTAGCTTCTTGAGCCAGATCTCTTGATTTGATCTTTCACTCAGGCACATCCAACACTAAAGGCAAGCATGGAGTATCATAGAGGTCTTCACACTCTTGACTGAGAATGATGGCTCTACCAATCTGAGTTGGCAATGGCGTGCTGCTTATCCACGTTCCTGCCTTTGCACGTCTGTACTGGTCGCTGCTCAAGCAGCGTTCGGGCAACTGTACTCCTGGCTGGTCAGAGATCTTCCGCGGCTGACTGTTCATGAACCGGGATGGTCAACCATGGTCTCTTTTAGATGGGAGACTTATATAAATCAACAGTTGTATAATGTAACGGCACAGTAGATCACCAAGGACTTCCTACAAAATCATGTAGGCAGCCCAGTGTTCTTGTGCGAAAGTCCCAACAACTCAAGAAGCGTCGTGCTGGGCATCTTGCTCCATCCTCTACCTTGCAAAATGTCCTCTACCCCCACCTTGGGGCATCATCCTTGGCATCACCCAAAACCTCGTTGTCAAGGAGAGGAGGGGCGGACTTGATTCAATTAGTGATCTGCCTTTTGCCTTTCTCCAGTCCGTTTTCAAGACTTTCTGTCTTCTTCAATGCCAACGCTTTCAATAAAACATGCACTGTTCGTCTTGGGCTTTTCAGTTGCACTGCAGGTCGGTTCCTATATAAAACCCTTCTTTCTCACAGCTTTCATGAGGATGCTCCGCCCTCCGTGACTTCCCCACGTTACGTGCCAGAATGATCTTCAACACGACGCCGGCATCAATCCCCTCAACCGCCAGTAACAGTTTTTAATATATATATATATATAATATATGTATATACCAATATATACTCTCGTCCCATCGGATCGAACCCAGGTCACGGATCACGGGGGCCAAGGAACCAAGGTCGTTTCTGGAAGCTGGCAGCACCTGGGGGCGTTCCCCACGGTGACTTCTCGGGAACCGGAAGCCCGACACAAGTCCATGGAGTTCTTGCGTCAGATTGACAGATGAAATGATCCGGATTTGAGGCGCAAGATCCTCACGAGATGATGTTTGACTGGTTATCAAGTCATCACGAGAATATTTGGTTCTTGTGTTTCACTCGTCCTCGCACCATGATAACCCCAAACGCCACGGAGCGCCCAGACCGTGTGGCGGCGCTGCCACCTCGCCCCCACACTCTCCGGGTCCACGGACGGTGTGGGCAGCGAGTTCGTCTTCTGAAAGGTCCAAGCGCTTGGCCTTGGGGAGTCCTCGTCTGAGTCCTCAGTGTTGAACCATGGACCCTGTGAATCAACCTTCCGCTCAAATGCAGCTTGAAGAGCAAAACCTCACAACAATACCCTCTACGACTCGTCTACGACGCCAAAAAGGAGAAGAAACAGATTCCAACTCTGGACCTCTGGACTCGCGCGAAGAACACAGGCCTCAAAGAGGCCTCTCCCTACCCAGTCGACCCAGCCTCCGTGGCCAGCGCCAGCCTCGACGGATCGTTCGAGCGAGACGCCCCGGAGCGGAGCGGCGGAGCGGCGGAGCGGGCCTGGAGGGCAACGAGCGGGTCTTCCCAAAGGCCGGCCCTCGCCGGGCATTCGGAAAGGGCTCCTCCTCATCCGAGTCCTTGGCCAAGGTCTTGAAGGGAAAAAAGTGGTTCGAAAGGTCATGTGTAAGAAGTGATACAGTAAGTGTTAAGATTTGACATGATGTGACTGTTAAGATGTGTTAGGGTGTTAAGGACCTCTTTCGGGAGCACGACGTCCAATGTCCCTGGCATGTATGGAGAGCTCTGCGATGTGTCTGCGCTTTCACGTTCCCTGTTTCACCGCAAAAACGAGAGAAATGATGACGCGCTTTGACGACAGAACGCTGCGCGATTCCAGGAATCTCCACCAACCTACCAGCGAACGAATCCTTCGAGTTGATGTCATGTCGTGTTCGCGAGGGGAACGCGGCACAACCCCTCCCCAACAGAAAGGGGAACGCAGCTGCAACCGCAACCACAAGGAGCAGCCAGAACCACAGACTGCCACCCAAAGGAACCTGGTAGGTGCAAATGTCCAACCGGACCGGGTAAATTCTCAATACCGCTATATGATGCTATATGTAGTTGTCTAGTGGTGCGACCCTGAATTTCATGTGGCAGCGAGTCAACAAGCTGAATCCTCAAACATGGTATACTCATGGAAGTGAGCTTGGGCGATTGAAGCCACATTCAACATCTCGCCAACCTCCCGCCCTAGGGCCGGAATCTAAGTGCACTGCAACATAATCAACTATATAATCTGATATATTTTTTGTGTTTCCCATCTACTGGAAGTGAACCAACAGAATCTGGCAACCAAGAGTCTTCCTCAGCATGCTGCCCGCGCAAGAAGTCCAGCGTTGGAGGGTGCATAAGAGCCGCTGCATAGCTGCTGGGCGAACTCGGCTTCAGCGGAAGTGAGGCGAAGAAGGGCGGTTTCGCGGTTTCATGCGACCGACGCATGGAAAGTACTGAGCCTAGCGTTTCGACCAATAGAATCCAATAGATACATGCCGCCCTAGATCTATCATCGAATGAGCCTTTTTTCAAGACGAGTTCTTGGTCACCATGCTAAGCACATGCAAGGACCCCAGAAGACCCACCGACCCCCAGAAGACCCACCGGTCTCAAGCCTTCTGCATCTGAGGCTCCTAGGCGCTTCGGCGGGCAACACAATCTGTAGCCACGGCGCTGCAAGTGCCCTTGCCCTCACCATCATCCGTCCTGGCGATGTCTGGTTGGTTCGAAGAAGGCGATTCCGCCAAGTCATTTTGGCAATCCCTTCCAGAAACCCTTGCAAATAGGCACTGTGAACAGGGCGGTCATCCACGCAAACAATTCCACCTTACACATGAGTGGAACTTTACAGCCTCGCTCTTAGTTTGCCAGCTGTCCCATGTGTACAAGGTATCCCAGTAGCAATCTCTTCCATCAAACCGGCCCCTAGCACATCATTAGGCTGGCCAAAGTAGGCAAATCATCAAACAAGAGCTTCTGGCCATCCGCACCCCAACATTAAATAGCGGTCGCTAAATGTTGAAAGGGTAAAGACCGGCAAAGCTCTCCCAAAATCAAAAACATCCATGGTCCATGCCCGTAAATCCCCCGTGCTTTCTATCCTTGGCTGCGTGACCAGGAGGCATTCTGCACCATTCTGCACCATTCTAGTTTGTCCAGGTGGTTTTTCTCCACAGTCAGCTTATCCCTTCGGCCAAGGCTCGCCATGCCCCACGCATCTTCTGCCGCCGCTCACCTTGGATCCGCTCACCGTGTGCCTCGCTTCAATCTGGTTGCCATGGGTAAGCCGCCAAGTGATACTGGAACATGCATCATGGCCTCGAGCAAATTCCTAGTCCCAATGATGTATCTCCCCAGTTTGGATGTCTTATGGGTTAGACTAAGGCAGGGTTTGGGGCTGGCGAGATTCCCATGTCCTGGTTGTTTGGTAGCGAAAACGGGTGGCCAATCACCTGCGGCTCCAAGACTTTTCTTTCGGAGTCTTCCCACGATCCGAGCCAGGGGTTGTTGGGGAAAAAGGCGAGGCGCAGCAGCATCCCTTACCATCATTCTGCCAAAGTTCAGCCTGGAAATGCCTGGAATATCCTGACACAGCAGTTCAGTAGCTCCCTGCCCCCTAGTCTTTATTCGATCGAAAAGGCATCCCTTTCTGCCTTGGTCGATGTCGCACCTGCGTGGCCGCACCGAACGGTGGGTCCCAGCAAGGAAGGCCGCGTCCGAGGCGCGTGAGCAGAGCACGACCGCCACACTGGTGAGGCTGAAGCATGCCTCGGGAAAGCCACGAGAGGATGAAGAGACAGGCTACTGAGGCGCTGGACAGGGGATGAGGCGCTGTTTCCCTTGCATGAGGCGCTCCCAGTCTATGACAAGGGATTGTATTGATCCACCAGTCCAAGTTGAAACTTGAATCACTATTCCCTATTCGTGCATTTGTTGGATCAGCCCAAGTTGCGTGTAACTTAGCCAATGACCGCCTTCATCATGCGGAATTGTTTGATTGTCCCAAGGGCCGATCGTGTGACTGTCCAATTGAGAATTGGGATCATCTCGTTCACCGTTGCCCAGGTGTTGATGCTGTTGTCCCTCGACCTGCTGCCCTTGGTTCTTGGCCCAACTTCACGATGTTCGGCTTGTGCTGTGCACTCACCCGCGTGTCGTAGCTATGAAGCAGCTTCAAATTTCCAATACAGGTGATGGTGCAACGGATTTTGATCCTGCGACGACTCAACAGGCGCGGACAAACGATTCCGTACAGTGGGGTAACTATTTTTGATCATTTTTGGTTGGCCTCTGGCGCTTATGCTATCGTTGACCGGTATTGGTAGCGTGCTAGAGAGGTCGCTTCTCACGCATCCAAATAGAAAGCTTTGGGCACTTTGAACATGCCTTTCATGAGAGGACTTGTGGTTCCACAAAGGGGTTTCTTGAGGACGGGGTGGCGTTCTTCTGGCTTGGAGGGGGATCTCTTCGGAGCTAACAGGTTCCCCGACCCATCCACAGAAGCGACCTCCACCGCCTGCGCTGCCAGGGCCTGCGTTATTTTCATGCCGACGATTGGACAAGAGGTCAGGACTGTCAGGACTGTCAACACAAGAGGTCGTGTGGAAATCTGGTGCTACCAGCACACCTTTGCCACCTGGTGATTGAGTCTTTTGCCCGTTGGTCTTTCGACCAAGTACCCTCCAATCCCGCCCGCCTGGGTGGTCAAGACCGGTGGAACCAGTGTTCATGGCATCCACACCCGATCCCTTCGGGGCCGGTGGAACTGGAATCGCCTGACCTGTGGTCGTGGGCCGTTGGGTACACTCGGGAACACGAAGCGGAATGCTATATATATATATATATATATATATACATTACGCATAGTCATGCAATATGCACCAGGACCTTCAAAGTGACCCTTTGAGATCCCAGGATGAGGTCACTTAGGCCTGTAAAAGACCACTTACAGACTGCAAAGGGGTCACTTTGAAGGTTCTCGTGCGCGTGTGTGTGTGTGTGTGTATCTATGTGGTTAATATTCTTTCATCCTGGAATGGCCACTCATCGTGGAAAAAAGATTTCTTTCGCGGGTCTTTCGCGGCCTCATCGCGAAGCATGGTCCCACAGCCATGTCTAGCTATATAACATGAGCCAGAACATGTCATAGTATCGCAAAATAGGGACAGACATCTTGCACCATGTCACTTGCATCATCTGTGCGACAATGGTGCCAAATAGAGTCAGGCACAACTCAGCCCAATCCTACCTACACAGGGTGATGCAGCTTGGGGAATGTTGGGGGGCCTCAAGCTGGGAACCTGGACTTTAACGGCACATTCGCGAAACTTTCGCGGATCTTTCGTTAAATTTCACTGGTGCTTTCCCTGGGAAGCCCGAACATTTGCAAACATCTGCACAGCCCGTCAGAGCAGCTGCAGGTCGTTGCCTCACTGTCAGGGCTGTGCCTACTCAGATTGCTAATCTGTGACAGTGGGGACAGGAATCGGAGAATCCTTTACGCACTGCCAGGGCTGGGCACGGAAATGTTGAGGCTTCAGTTCGTTAGTCTGTGGCATGGGGACACTTCCGCCCGCTGGCTCTGCCGGAGGATTGCCTTGTATTTCTATTCTTTGTCAGTCCGGTAGAAAGGAAAACATATGAAAGCGATGACCTTCGATAATTCCTTCGCGGAAAAATACATGATACTTTCGCGAACCTCATCACGAATCTTTCGCAGATGGTTCTAACAACATCTGAAAGGCTGTTTTGTATAAAACTCCTTACACGGAGTTTTCGATCAACCCCCATATAGTGTGTGTGTACAATATTGTAATATAGTGAGAAGGAGCCAGTGACCTGACCTATCCCAGTCAATGGTTCTCTTCTGCAGATTTGCTGCCTTTCTCAGTGGAAAGAACCCACTCCGGCCACCATAAAAGCGAACATGTTCCCCCTGGCCGCCCTGGCCCAATAGGTTCCCAGCGAGTTTCTGCTGCCAAAAGAAAGGTCCTTCAAATGGATCTCTGGTTTCAACTGGCTTCTCACACGAAGCTGAGATCGAGACCGAGTGTCATTGCTTGGAATCAGGAATAATTTGCACACAAACATGCCTTTTGGTCTGGGCAGTAATAAGTTATTACCACCAAAGGAACACATGAAAGGACCCTAACAGCCATACTTGGCAGTAGCCCCCTTCCACTGTACATGAGACGCGTCGACTATATATCTTTAAATTCATTTTACAGTATGCATTTGGATGAGCAGACTTTGCACCCAGGTCCTTGCTGGTGCGCTTGCGGAAATGACTTTGCCTCCGGCCCAGGCACATCAATTCAAAAGCAGCCGGATCTTAGAGGTGCAAATGGCAGCTCGAAAGGTGGCACAAATGGGCGATGGCCATGGCATTCACAGGTGCCGAAGGACCAGCAAACTCGTGGGCCATTCACAGGTCCGGCCTCCGACGTTCCAAGCTGCGCCCAAGCCAGCAAGAAGTAAACCTCAGTCGTGGTACGCCACTCACACCACAAGCTGGATTTGAGCAGCAGAGCCAACCCACACCAAAACGAAAGGCTGCAGCAAAAGCAACTAAACGTGTCTTCAGTTTTCTCCATGTCGCCTGCGAAATCATTGGATTTCCAGACTCCTTTCGACTGGCTCCCTAGGCACCTGAGCCTCTATAAGCGAATCTGGGCGAGACAATGACCTCAATAACAGAAACACTCCAGTTAAATAAGCTGGAGAACGTCTGCCGCAAGCTCTGAAGGGATGGAAGTTCGGCAACATCCACTTCGATATAGAACAGCATGCAACACCATCAAAATTGCCAAGCGCATGATCATTGCCAGCTCTGACACCCACCACTGGCCTGAAACAACCTGAAACCATCTGAGAACCTAGAAACTTGCCCTGCAGGTCTTCTCTTAGGGCCCAAGGGGGCGTGGCGAGCCCGGTCGACGGACTTCCCCGGTCGACGGCTCCCCCCGCTGAGATCACAGGCCGATGCCCAAGGTCGACGATCTTCGCGATCGCGTTGACCTGTCATCAGTTGAGGTAGAAATACTTGGAGTCAAACGGAGTTACCTGAAAAGAATCATGGGCATCACTGGAAGGAGAAGACCATACAAGGCGCGTGCTTCAACAAAGGCTCCAAGAATTGTACCAAGTGTTGCACGTCTTGGGCCGTCAATGGGGCGCCTCCATGCCATAGCGCACATGTTCTGGAGAGGACCTCTGGGCACGAGCCATCCTAGACACTTCAAATCCCCACAACTGAAGGACAATCTTGAGCGGAGTTCTGGAGAACCACAGGGTGTGTGGCTTACCGTTTGCCTCCAGGAAAACAAGGCACGTGCCCTCGCCAAACCTCCCATCACACAGAAAGTACGCAACCAATATCACAACCTAGGACCTAGGACCTAGGACCAGGCTAGGGCCATCTTCCTGTTTATCTGTGCTTCAGGCACCCTCGCATGTCCATGCGCAAACTATCATGCGAGATCAACAAGCCCTCCCTCCCATCAACCCCTCTCGAATAGGCTTGTGCCAGGTCTCTGTGCGGAAAATGCCTCAGAGCTGAAGAACCGCGCGTGCCCTCACGACGATCGGATCCCTGTCGTGAGATTCTGCCGCAAAGTGCGATACTTCACTCACAAAACTCGGTGAGAAGCCATTTCTGGCCCACCGTATTAAATATTGAAGGGAAGCTGGACCAACTGATGCAGCTAAGCTTCCTGAAAGCAATGAATCTCCTGAGTATGGCAAAACCAAAGTGGCAACAGGAACAGTGCAGCTTGCCTCCAGCTCATTGAGAGGATACGAAGCCAGCGACAAATCATATACACTACACAAGCTAGAGCCCTGCTAAACTGCTGTCTCATCAATCCAACGATGCCCACTTTTGGTGGCCAGCAACGACTTGTTTGCATTTCAATCGTCTGCTTTTGGGCACCCGGATGGCAAACGAACAATCAAGAAGATCGGTACATCAGTTTTGCCTTAATGTTCTTCAATTGAATCCCAGACTTGTTCAACTCTGACCCCTATCCCTGGGAGACCCGACTCCAACAGTGCAGGGTGGGCAGGACCCAAATGAGCCCAAAACGCTGCGGCGTATGAATCTGCATGATCGTATGGATGCACATCAGGAACTAGGGTTGTTGAGTTTTTGGTAACTGCCATCAGCGGTCTAGATAATAGCCAAGCGGCACGGCTTGCCATTCAATGCCAAACATGAAGAGCCTACCCGCCCATGTTTAGTGCCAACGGCGTATCCATCCTCACGAGGGATGTCGCAGGGTCCAGGGTGAGGGATGAAATTCATGCGGACAAACATGAGCCACCACAGCATGGAAGGAAGCTCGTGCTTCCTTCTCGATTTGTCACTCCGTCGCCGTGTGGATGGACCAAACATGATAAAACCCCGCCCCCTGATGAGGAATCCCCAGCTCTTGGGGTTCTCTAGTTTTGGTGAAGGTGGGGTGGAGGGATTCTCACATTTCTCACACTTGCATTGGACACCTTGCAAATCCCTTCAGTCCACGCCACAACAACCCATCTCCAACACCGCTCTTCTTCCTGCGCTCCATGCCTTGAAAGCCCACCCTCCCTTCCTGCGCGAGACGGAAGCCGGTTGCGCCTGGAGCTCTCCTGGGAGCAAGGAAAAACGGTTAAAAAAAAACATTAATTGAATTCCTTGAATTCGCAGCATATCCAGCTTCGAGCTCCATTGCTCTCCCGTGTGGGGCCCACACCTCCAAAGATGACTTCGACCAATACCTGGCAAATCCATCGTCCACTCGATGGTTGCTTGCAGAAATGCATTTCATTTATGGCATGGGGATAGCAACCGCCCTGGCAGTGACGAAACAGGATTGTAAATCCGGGCCCGTGGATGCTGGGTCTGCTGCCAGGTTCTGGCATGTTGATGCTCTGACGGTGCGATGCCTGGAATATGAATCCCGCGGCCTCATTTTCAACTCGAAGTTGACAGGGTATTGAACTGAGTTCAAACATTAAAAGTCGTCGGAGTGCCCAAGGTCGTGAGGCACTTCTCTCGGCAACGAAAATCAAGGAACGCCACGTGGGACATGCCCTCCCCCAAACTGAACCATATAACACCAACCATGTGAGCGAAAGTTATCTGCCCAAACTCTGGGAGAAAAAAAAGCGTTCCCTTAGTTCAGGGCAGGGCAAATTTCAAAGTCCAAAGTTGTTCTGCAAACTATATAACTAGGAAATCGGAAAACACGGATGACGTTTTCGCTGAAAACTGTGAAAATCCCCGCTCAGTGCTTCTGCTGATGTAGGAAGAGCGCTCGAGATTGTCGGTTGTCCTGGTTGCGAGGACGTCTGTTGCACACCAACCCAAGAAGAGCAATATCATGCGGAGCCAATTGTCAAATGAGCCTTCCGTGCGTGCCTGCCTGTCTCACCTCTTGGAAATGCAAAACAAGTAGGGCCCCACTGTGATGGTTTCCAGCTCAAGCCGACTAGGGGTAGCATCGGAGCTCAAAAGGGCCCAAACTGATCAATGAGCCCGTCGGGCCCATCAATTGGTCTTAATGACGACTTAGTGATGACGACAATGGTCCGCCATGGGATCCGCTCATGGGGATGTGGCGGTCTTCAGTCTAAAGGATGTGCTCTTACAAGGTAATCCAGCTGCACGACAACTACGTTTAAGATATTATTTATAGACACCTGAGATGTAAGATCCTCAGCTGCACGGGCACACACAGACACACGAAGGCCGCTTCTCCACGTCTCCTTGACCCAGTCTTCCAACTCTTTCATCACCGGCAATGGTTTTCCCTTGGTCGCTCACAATGCAAGCTCACCGCAATGAATCCTGCGGCCTAAAGCTTTAAGAATACCACCCGACACTCCAACCTGACCTGCACTGCCAGAACCTGGAACCTTCTGCATTGGCCTGTTTTGGAGATCGGGCCCGTGAAGGCTATACCATTTGTAGGATTTGTAGGGGGCAAACATCGACTGATGAAGCTCGACGTTGTTTCCACGTGAGTGTGGATCAGAAATAGGGAGGCCCCCAGAGAAAAAAATACAGTAATAGCTTTAAAAAACACCACCCTGGCTCTGGGGAGTCTCGCGATTGAACATCTTGAAATATATACACCCTTCAAACCGTTGAAAGGCATGTACCTCAGGATGAAGCCGTGAAGATCCATGAAGCCTCACACCAACCACTCTGGACCAGCCAAGCATCGGAGCTGTTGGGCGCCATCTCTCTCAACCACCTGACTTCCGCCCCCCCAAAAGAAATGCATTCATGACAACGAAGAGCATGGGCAAGAATATCATCTTGCGGCTCTTAAGACCACCAGCTTGCTGCTATAACCATATGTACTTCAACAACTTCCTGAGGGCTCTCATCTCCAATTGGGAGGCTCTACCCATCAGCTGAGCCACGGATGCTCTAGGGCATCAGCAGCAGTGAGTCGAACTTCGACGTCCTTCCTGGGTGCTTGGCGCGGTTGCTTGGAGGAAAGCAATGTCGTGCATCCAGCAAAGGCAAACCCCTGGACAAAAGGTGGCAGTCCGTTCAGTTTGTCACAGAACATCTCCAAAGCCGCGGTGTTGGAACTCTCACTCTCTCTCTCTTGCAACTTGCACTGGTCAAAGCAAACCCCTGTGAAATTTGAGACTGAGCTGCTGGGTTGGGATTACCTTCGCATCTCGCGAGGGGTCAATTTTTGATTCATCGCTGGTACATGAACTTGTCATCTCCGAGTTTGATCAGTCCGACTCCACCTCAAAAACCAACGCCTAGGGGATGTGCGACCGGCCAGCAGCGCTTTTGATGGCTATCAGCTCTATTTCACGGGACTGATATGGCCTTCCATGCTAAGAACTAGGAAATGGCAAGACCAAAAGCTCATTGAAGAAAACATCGCACTCCTAGCTCACTTGGATCCCCAGGCTGTGGGCATTGGGTGCCAGCGATGTTCCCTGCAGCCTGCTTTGTGACTTTGTGTCTCCACTCTCCACACTCTGAGTGACACGGACAAAAGCTCTGGGTTGCTAGGACTCACAACATAGAATCTATGTCGCCAAGTGATAGTTCACGTTGGTTTAACAACCTTTCAGGGATCCGTGCTGAGGTTTAGTCAAAGACCGCCAACGGCAGATCCGGAGCAACACCAAGCAAGCACCTTCATTATTGGATCTGCTGAAAAGGCTGAAGAAGCAGCTAGCCAAGCAGCTGAAGAAGTTTCCGGATGAAGTCAAGCCTGCAAGTTCGGGCCAGCATAAAGGTTACTTACTTTCACTAAACCCCTAGCAAACCAATCCACACACCTGCCCAAACCGATACCTTCACTTTATCAGGAAGCGCCCCCCTGGAGAAACTCAGCATGAACATGCATGAACCCAACAAAGCGCAGGAAATACAAAGCTTCTGAAGCAAATCTGAGATCACCCATCTTCAGAGACTTCTTGCCAGCTCGATGCCTCAGCTCGCCGTTCTGAACTCTCGCAGCTGGCAAGCCGACTCGGCCGGAAACGAGTTCGCGGAGGTGGCTCAAATGACCGGGGTGTGCAGAAGAAATTCATATGGATCAAAGAGCCAGAATTTTGTATAGACCCTGAAGTTCGGGGCCTAAGTCAGATTCCGCCAGCTGCCGGATACTTTAGGCGGCTGATTCCGCCAGCCGCCGGATACTTTAGGTGGCTGATTCCGCCAGCCGCCGGATACTTTGGTGGCTGATTCCGCCAGCCGCCGGTTACTTTGGTGGCTGGCCGGCTGATTCCGCCGGCTACTTTTTAGTTGGCTGGCTGGCTGATTCCGCCGGGTACTTTGGTGGCTGGCTGGCTGATTCTGCCTTTGGTGGCTGGCTGGCTGATTCCGCCGGCTACTTTGATAGGTTGCTGGCTGGCTGATTCCACCGCATACTTTGATAGCTGGCTGGCTGGCTGGCAGATTCCGCCGGCCACTTGGATAGGTGGCTGGCTGGCTGATTCTCCCGGATACTGTGATAGGTGGCTGGCTGATTGCGTCGGGACTTTGATAGGTGGCTGGCTGGCTGATTCCGCTGGATACTTTCATAGGTGGCTTCCGGCATCTCATTCGCGCGTACAGTTGAGTCACTTTTCGCGTGTACAGACGAGGTGCCGGCCACAGTTCCCACCTATTTTGAGTGAGGATTGTCCTTTACACAAGTCCCAGCTCCACGGGCCGTGGAGTTTCAGTGTACCGCAGTTAGAGGTTCAGAGGACCTCACCCGCACTACCCAAATGCGGTGTGACTAGTTCTGGCGCACGCCGCGCTAAAACCAGAAAGAGTGGCGGCGGTCCGGGAAAAACGAGTTTGAATCTGATCTGGTCGAAATGCGTTCTTTCAAAAGTAGCTGACAGTTCACATATTCTTTACTTTTGGCACACACAGTTGGCTAATGAAGGAAACATGGACCAAACAAGTATTGGCGCCAAATGGTAAGAGGCGTCACAAGTAGTGTAGGCTAGTGATGGCTTCGGGTTTCGTTCAACAATACAAATTGATCCACTATATCATAGTCAAAAAAACAAGTCACATTGCCATGCCACTGATGGCTAAACCCTTCAGATCCTAGAAGCTCATTTTGTCTGATGTTTGCCACGTGTCAAAAGAGCTCTGATGCGCGCTGTCCACGCAAACTGCACTGCAGCTTTCCGACATGCTGGCGCATCGCAAACATGCCTCTCTGAGGCCGCTGTGGGAAAGCAAAGTCATGTTGTTGTTGTTGTTGGTGGTGGTGGTGGTGGTGGTGGTGTTGTTGGTGTTGGTTGCTGGTTGCTGGTTGTTTGTTGCTCCATGGGAACGAAGCTCTTGTGGGAGCGCAGCAACATTGGACAGAGCGTTGTTAGCAATTTCCACCTGAGCCGATGTTTTTGCGCGCGTAAAGGTTGATTGACTGATTGATTGGTTGGAACCTTGCCTCCTTGATCAACCCTTCGGGCCAAAAAGTGAAGCCATGTACGCGTCCCCCTGGGAAGGCTTCCTGCCAGCAAGGCAAACAACATAAACAACCTGAGAAGCGGCAAAACGAAAGCCAGCGTTTTTGCTTTCGAGTGTGCTTTCTCAGGCCACCCCCGCGAAACCCCGTCCTTACTCAGCTGGCGCAGGTATAGATACCCAGGGTAACTACAACTCAGTTACCAGGTATAGTACCTCAAGTTCCCTTTCCGTCAACCGCTCGATAACCTTTACACACGTACAGCAATCCACAGCTTTGAAGTTTCATTGAACTTATATAGGTGTGTAAGAGATATAACAACATAGCACTTATACGCACCCCTTTATGTGCCTGATTCCGCCAGCCGCCGGGTACTTTTGGTGGCTGGCTGGCTGATTCCGCCGGATATTTTGCTGGCTGGCTGGCTGATTCCACCGGATACTTTGATAGGTGGTTGGCTGGCTGATTCCACCGGATACTTTTTAGCTAGCTGGCTGGCTGATTCCGCCGGATACTTTGATAGGTGGCTGGCCGGCTGATTCCGCCAAGTACCCTGAACGCAGGGTCAATAGAATTTTGTGAGGCCTACTGCCATCTACGTCTTATCAAGCCTTATCGATGGCAAGGAAAGAAGATCATGGAGTCGGCCAAAGAGAAGCGCAAGGTTTGGCCGCAATGCGCTGGAAAGGATATGCTGATATGATATGCTTGTAGAATTGTCCCGTGGTGTGGGATGGTTTAGGTATGTTTAGGTGCTTTACTGACCAACTGCCGCGAGCTCCGAGCCGCACTGAAGGAATAGTTGACCTTCCGCACGTTCTTGGCCACCTGCTTGGCGGTCTCAGCATCCTCGGGACGTTTCTCTCGGCCCAACCGGCGGCGTAGGGAAGGAATGGGACAGGAAGGTGTGACGAAGCAATGGACAATATTTGGACTCACCTCTTGAAAGCTACCCAATCAGGATGCAAACATGGACGGAAACCTATGACAAATACCCATCGCTTCGGGACACTTCTGGCATCGTTCCCGCCATCTGCCATCTGAAATTCTCACTCGCCGACGTTGAAGCGTTCGAGGCATCGTGCTGCAGCTGTTGGCTAGGTCGAACGATGATAACGATGCGACCATGAAGATTTTGAGTCCTTTTGGGCACAAGCGCCACAATGTCAAGTCCCCAAGACGATTTGCTGTCCGGCTGGACGAGAGTCATGATGAGTCATGTCTTGTTCTTCGTTCAACATCAAGTTCTTCGTTCAACATCAACGATCACTCCCTTACAAATCCAGCCCAAGTCACAAAGGGGCTGAGGCCACTCAGAATCAGAAACCTTGGATCAACTTTTTGCAGGGCTGGTTCAGAGATCTTTCCGATATGCAGGGCGGTCTCCGGTGCCTCCAATAAGTTTTCACAGGGTCCCCGTCGGAAAGCCTAAAAGCTCTGCCTTGGATGAAAAAGGCCGCAAGCACTTCAAATAACAAGACCTCCTTCTGGAATTGGAATTGGGTTCGTTTGGGTCTACAACACTACAAATGCTCCACATGGACGTTCCTTCTCCAGCACTGTCACTGCTTGTTCACCCCATCCCCCTCCCTCGTGAGACTTCACGTCCAGAAGACACCACGACGCCGAAACTCCAGAGATCGCACGCGGGCGGCTGATAATTCTGAGTGAGAATTTCCTGACGCGGCATGGAACAGGTGCACCAAACGCGGAAGATGTGAGGACGAAACGGTGACGGTGACATGCTCTCTGCAGGTACTGTGCCAAGAAGTGAATGACTGCCCGGTAGATGCAGCTCCCACCGAACTTCCAAAACAGGTGTTTAAAACAATTTCTTGTCATTCCGCCGGGAAAGCACTTGCTACATCATACTTATAATCTGTAATTTCTACTTCTTTTGTGCAATTGAGCCCGAAACGCGAACCAAAACTAGAAGATCTCTGTTCAAAGGCCTTTTCCTCTCTTGGATCTCCACAACAAGGATGGGAGAAAGGAACAGAGCATGATACGGGTGACAAATTGCATGTTTTGTTCACGGGTGAAGGTAACAAACAGCACAGACCTGGAACATGGTCTCCCTGCATCACCCTTGAAGATCCACACTGAACAAGTATGAATAGTATCTAAATAGTTTCTAAATATGAACATATCATATATTAGATATATATATATATATACATGTGAACGTATGTACGGCCAAGACCTGGTGGAAAAATCCTTTGCACGGACCTGGTGGAGCTGAAGGGATATGTTTCTGAATGTTTCTCGACATCTCTTTGTAGTGATCTCGTCCCCCCCCCCTCTTGCCATCCGGACGGTCTCCCGCGGCCAGGGTGCCGGTGCCACGTACATGATGGTCCCTGGGCAATCCTTCAGCCGTTGGCCCGGCTGGAAGCTGGTGGCGAGACCAAAATCGATGAGCTTCCTCAGGTAGAAGCAAGCAGCTACTAGTAGCAAGAAGCTGCTACCAGTAGTAGCAAGGTGCCTTACTAATAGTAACAAGCTACTACTAGTAAGGCACCTCGCTATTAGTAGCTAAAGGAAGCTCGGCTTGTGAAAGCACCGACCCCAGTCAGTTTTGTGAACTCCGGGAGCTCTGGGAGCGTGCTTTGAGGATGCTTTTGTTGGTGCACTCCTTTGTGCAGTCAAAGGGCTGGCCAAACATGCCCTCACTGAGGGAGCTATAGATCTTGACCCTCTTTCCAACAAGCAGTACAGTAGCGCTTCTAGCGGGATCGTGTGGGTTGCGACCAGACCTGTTGGATTGTACTTGTCGTGGGGGTTGGTGAGCTCTGGCTAGTTTGGGTCGCCACGGAGAATGTTTAAAAACGGGCTCTCTGTGCACTGTGACAGTGCCAACTCCTGTCAACTACAGCCAGTTCTTGACCCTTTCTAGTTCAAGGCTCAAGGGCACCACATTCAACGGCCCCTCTCGACCCAGCAAGAAGTGCTCCGGCTTCAGGTCCCTGTGGCACACGTGTTGTTTGTGCCTCATTGTCAGCGTCGGCAAACAGCATCCCGTCGAAGATGTGTGTGAGAGGCCGCATTCAGACACTTGAGAGAGGAGGGGGTGAACGAAAGGAAGCAGGCAATCACAAGTAACCCTGGTAGAAGTCCATGACGGCATGAACCGGCGCAGGGGGGACTTGATCCAGGGGGGCCCCCCCGACGAACAGAATCATCTCTTACAGGACCAAACTCAATGCACAATCCCAACTCCTGACTGTATATAATACATTTTTGCTAAAGCAAGGAGAACTCAGGTAGCTCAAGCTACCTTTCGTGATTACAGGTTGGGAAACAACATGTTTTCGGTCGGATCTCTTCAGGGGATGATTACCTAGGACTTTTGGTTGTCATTCTCACCACGACTGGCCAGCTCCGCAGCCTAGCTTCATGTAAGCCAATGGTGAGCAGATCTGCCTCATCAGCATTGCAGCTTGCTTCTCCGTGAGGTTTCCATCATCAATGACCTGCAGGGACGAACAAAAACATCTCCAACTCGTGTCAACGGTGTCAACGGTGTCACTCGGTGCAAAACCGCCGCCGACACCCAGGACACCTTGTCAAAGAGCTCGCCACCGCTGCAGAATTCCACCACAAGCTGATAGCCTCGAGCATCTTCGAAGGCATCTATCAAGCTGATGACATTCGGGTGACTCACCAGCCTGGCAGCGCGGTGAAGATATCATCTATTGGGAATCACTAGCCGTTGGGGCTCGGCCCAAGTGCCTCGCTTTTTTGTCAAAGGACCCTGAAACTATTTCACAGGTCCCAACTGCCCCTCTTTCATCAAAGACTTCTGTTGAGCCACTGGAGCATCCGCTTTTCGTTGTGGAAGGCCACCTGCGGCCCATCATCATCAGCTTGTCGCACAAAGATCTTCACCTGGTTTTCTAGCAGTTCAGCCGGCTGGGAAGTCTGCTCGGGACTCAGGATAAACACAGCCTTCCTGTGGTTGTTGATCATTTCTGTGTACAATGTTAGTCGGGCACGCAGTTGCACAGAGTTTTTAGCCCAAGTTTGAAGCAAAACAAGTTACTGTATAGGCTTTGGCTTTAGGCTCAAGAAGGCAGAGCTATCATTCTCCCAAAACAACCAACCCACTTCTGTCCGCTGGGCCAGGGAATCTAGATTCTGGTGTGGCCTCCGCTGACCACCTGCATGCAACATGACGCCAAACGGTACGCCGACCCTGCAGCAGTGTTGATTATTTAAAAAAAATGCGGTGCACCGACCCTGAGCAAGTCGTCAATGTCTAGGGCACAAACTCGGCCCTCACCGTTCACTTTGGGTGCCCGCCTTGCCCCATTCTCTGATGAGTCGGACTGCAACTGTAGGCTGCAAAAAAAAAACAAGTGTGGTGCTTCCACCGCAGTCGCCCTGCAGGTCTCCGTTCCATAACATGTCGAGTCAAAGGTTCATGCGTGTTGTAGTTTGGCATGTGTTCCATTCTATAACCCCCACCATGGTGCATTTTGGTTGTTTTCCACCCATCCCTATCCATTTGAAGTGGTCTCGCTACCCTCCAATTCCTCCGAGCCACCGCAGAGCTCTCTTGAGTCTTCTTGCACGTTGCCAAGTGTACAGTACAGAACGCTCCAGTGCCGATGGCCTTCCCCAGGACATACTGATCCTGCCCATGCGCGGGTTATGCAGGGCAATGCAGATCCTGCCCTCTAACAGGAGACGAGCAGAGCGACTTCCAACGACAGTAAAAGGGACCCCCCAAACGCCTGAAAGGCCATGAAAGGCTCTGAAAGGCTGGTGGAACATCCCACCTGCACCTGGAATTCTCACACACATTCTATGCAATAATATACACATATATGATGAAATATGCGTATCTTGGTGTGTGTGTGTGGTATACGTCCTATATGTGAGGCCGGGTGATATTGTGCAGTATGCACGTGGAAAAATGCATGCATCTGCCACTGAAAACAAGAGGAGCAGCATCCCACAAGAAACAGCAATCATGGAGCCCTGAAGACAGGTAGGTCACCCACTATTGAACAAATGTAATTAGGGCGGTTGAGCTGTTTTTTGCGGAAGGACTGTTGCAAAGCACGATGGCCACTCCCTCTCCAGGACAGAACCGCAATCAAACCTTGCAGGGGGCATCTGCATCCTAAGACTCTTGGGTCACCCCGGTCACCCCATCCCTCCGCTTCAATGCGCCAGCCTCAAGCTGCTTGTGAGTCGAAGTGCATCGTTTACAAAGGCCCTTCCAGCATGCCATCAGGCGCCGGTGCTCGGCCCATGTTCAGGCGCCACCAAAACGGATCAATTCTTATCTTATCTTTCTAGGCTTTGAGAACGGTGAATGTTTCTTTGGATTTTTGGTTCCACTCAGAATTGGGATCTGAGAGTCGACACCTGTGGTATGCGATGCTTTCGCTGACAGGTCCCGGGTGGCATCTTGACCGACCTGACGCTCTGACGACCTGTGATGTCCGGTGTTCGCCCTGAGAGCCAAAACATCGCCAAGTTCGTGCAAACGGTGCATGCTTCCAGGGGAAAAAAGGGAGCATATCGAAAAAAAGTCGCTGAAAGCTGTGACAAAATGTCACCAAAGGTGTCTGTAACATTCTGTAGCAAGCATTCTTTCACTACTTTCTCTTTAAAAAAAGAAAACGATCCGCTTTCAACACCTTGCCCTCGGCCTCGCCCGGCCGCGGTCTCCCGCTGCGCGGCTCTGCGCCGTCCCTCCCGGCTCCTCCGCTTTGAGGCGATGGGTTTGGGGATTCGTGGATGGACGGGGGGATCCTCCATCCACATGGATCCAGCAGGATTTTTTGTGGACAAAAAACACCTCGCAAAAAATAACGTGCGCATGCCTTTCTTGAAAAAAGATCCTCGTGGGTTTGATTGAGTCCGATACGGTCTTGAGGTCGATATCCCTCAAGACTCCTCGCCTCCTTGCGGAGCTGCTGGACACTCGCCTCAAGCAGGCCCGAATTCTTGAATACAGCGACAGCACAAGGGCACAAGGAACCTGAACTGCGGTTCCGCAATACCAGGAATCAAAACCCCTGGCTGTGGCATGCTGTCGAGCAGCAATGAAGAAACAGACAGGTCTGAATCCAGCTAGTGACTCAAGACAAGAAGACTTCAGCCCTAGATCCACCTTTGAATCTGGGACCATCTGCCATCATCTGCCCGGAGGAAGGTGCAAACAAAACCAGGTGGCACCTGCCGCGCTGCTGCAGCGGCAGCCAGGGCTGCTTCTGCCGCTGCTAAGGCGTTGCTTTGAGGCTGCACCTAGCACCAACATCACAAAATGGTGCTGTCTGATCGATGTCTGTCAATCGCAGGAAAATGCAACAAATGGTGCTGGCAGGTCAGATGGAGAGGGAAACGGAACATGGCCGTCAGTGTGAGTGCATCTCATTGGAGATCTGCAGAAACCTGGCTCCAGAAAGACCTCAGCCCTGTATCATGAGCCGGCCCACTGTCTTGCAAACTGCCACGCCTAATTATGGAGGAATCAGTCAACACTATCCCCATGTTGCCGCTTTGGGGCTTCAATTCCGGTGCCTCCATCAGTCCGGGCTTTGGCGGATGAGCGTCCTAGCGACGGAAACGGCTCGGGCAACGGCCGTATGATCAGAGTTCATCTCTCCCAGAGGCTGTTATGCTCGGTGTTTTGCAGGGCCTCCCGTCTCGCAAGTCTTGGGTCTAGGTCTAGCGATTTGTACAGAAGATGTTCCTTAAGGGTGTGCCGGTGTGCCTAGTGAAGGCTGGATGCAGTTTGCAGCCGGCCTGTGGTGTCTCGACAGATCTGGTCTCAACATTGCCCACATCAGCCTGGTTGCAACATCCATTGGGAATTGTGGGGTGAAGTAAAGCTTGCCCTCTCACTCCCTGCTCGCACATTTAGTTGGCAAGTATCCAAAACAGTCGAGCATGCCTTTATACCCTCTGATGTTCCTTTTAGAGTAATTTTAGAGGTTGCTGATCCTGGAAGAGGAAATCACTCAGGTGCAACAGCCGGCTACAAGATGATACAAGTATTGAGCAAGTGCGGTGAGGGATTGCGGCAAAATGAAATGATACAGTAATTACGTGCACACAATCCAGCTTCTTAAACCATGAAACAAATACATAATCCACGCAAAAACTTGCAAAGATCTGTGGCGCCACCATGCTTACTGAACGAAACAAGTCCGCTTTGGCGCCCTTCCCCGAGTCACTATTCTCCTTGAGTGTGCTCTCTTCAAACCAGTTTCCCACCTTCTCCGTGTCATCGGCCTCATCACATTGCTAGATCCGTGTCATAAGCTTGGAGTACTGGCCCGAAACTGAAGCACTTACACCCAACTGCCCAGCCTCTACTTGTGTAGGCGTTCCTTCTCCAAGCTCTTCCTAGCCAGGGAAACATGTTTGGAAACACTTGGTGGCGGGGCTCTGTCACTGTTCATTCCAACTGGTCAAAGCTTGACGCATTTGCAACTGGCCTGCGGCGTCGTCTCTGCAGAGGTGGTCTCAACAGCGTCCAGGTTGATATCGGCCTGGTTGTAAAAGCCCTTTTAGGGAGTCACACGATGGAGTAAAGCTTGCCTACTCACTCCTCCCCTGCCATCCTACCACTGAGAAATAGATGCGGCAAACTGGCCTAGCCTGTACACCCTCTGATCTTGCTTCTGCAGGTTCCTCCTGATCGTGCAGCAAATCACTTTGGTGCAAAGGTCAGTTACAAGTACTGTAACTGTATATACTTATGTAGCAAGCGTGCAATGTAAGATGAAATGACACCAAAAGGGCATGCAATCAAACAAAACCCGTCATAAACACTCAAAGTCCACGGAAACAGCGAAAAACACTCAATTACAAAGATCTGTGGCACTACCATGCTTACTGAACGAAACGATCTCTGCTTTGGCCGCGCTTGTGACATGACCCTCCGTCGCTATTCTCCTTGGATGTGCTCTCTTCAAACCAGCTTCTCACCTTCTCCGTGTCATCGGCCTCATCACATTGCTATATAGATCCGTGTCATAAGCTTGGAGAACTGGCCCGAAACTGAAGCACTTACACCCAACTGCCCAGCCTCTACTTGTGTAGGCGTTCCTTCTCCAAGCTCTTCCTAGCCAGGGAAACATGTTTGGAAACACTTGGTGGCGGGGCTCTGTCACTGTTCATTCCAACTCGTCAAAGCTTGACGCATTTGCAACTGGCCTGCGGCGTCGTCTCTGCAGAGGTGGTCTCAACAGCGTCCAGGTTGATATCAGCCTGGTTGTAAAAGACCTTTTACAGAGTCACACGATGGAGTAAAGCTTGCCTACTCACTCTTCCCCTGCCATCCTACCACTGAGAACTCATAGTTGTGGCAAACTGGCCTAGCCTGTACACCCTCTGATCTTGCTTCTGCAGGTTCCTCCTGATCGTGCAGCAAATCACTTTGGTGCAACGGGCCTTTACAAGATTTTACAAGTACTGTAATGCTTAAAATTGCTTAAATATCAAACGTGCAAAGTAAGATGAAATGACACAAGAGGTGCGTACTATCAAACAAAGCCAATCAGTCATAAACACTCAAAATCCACGGAAACAACGAAAAACAGTTAATTACAAAGATCTGTGGCACTACCATGCTTACTGAACGAAACGATCTCTGCTTTGGCCGCGCTTGTGACATGACCCTCCGTCGCTATTCTCCTTGGATGTGCTCTCTTCAAACCAGCTTCCCACCTTCTCCGTGTCATCGGCCTCATCACATTGCTAGCTAGATCCGTGTCATAAGCTTGGAGAACTGGTCCGAAACCGAAGCACTTACACCCAACTGCCCAGCCTCTACTTGTGTAGGGGTTCCTTCTCCAAGCTCTTCCTAGCCAGGGAAACATGTTTGGAAACACTTGGCGGCGGGGCTCTGTCACTGTTCATTCCAACTGGTCAAAGTTTGACGCATTTGCAACTGGCCTGCGGCATCGTCTCTGCAGAGGTGGTCTCAACAGCGTCCAGGTTGATATCAGCCTGGTTGTAAAAGACCTTTTACAGAGTCACACGATGGAGTAAAGCTTGCCTACTCACTCCTCCCCTGCCATCCTACCACTGAGAACTCATAGTTGTGGCAAACTGGCCTAGCCTGTACACCCTCTGATCTTGCTTCTGCAGGTTCCTCCTGATCGTGCAGCAAATCACTTTGGTGCAACGGTCGGTTACAAGTACTGTAACTGTAGATGTTTAAATATCAAACGTACAAAGTAAGATGAAATGACACAAGAGGTGCGTACTATCAAACAAAGCCAATCAGTCATAAACACTCAAAATCCACGGAAACAACGAAAAACAGGGAATTACAAAGATCTGTGGCACTACCATGCTTACTGAACGAAACGATCTCTGCTTTGGCCGCGCTTGTGACATGACCCTCCGTCGCTATTCTCCTTGGATGTGCTCTCTTCAAACCAGCTTCCCACCTTCTCCGTGTCATCGGCCTCATCACATTGCTAGCTAGATCCGTGTCATAAGCTTGGAGAACTGGTCCGAAACCGAAGCACTTACACCCAACTGCCCAGCCTCTACTTGTGTAGGGGTTCCTTCTCCAAGCTCTTCCTAGCCAGGGAAACATTATGGAAACACTTGGCGGCGGGGCTCTGTCACTGTTCATTCCAACTGGTCAAAGCTTGACGCATTTGCAACTGGCCTGCGGCGTCGTCTCTGCAGAGGTGGTCTCAACAGCGTCCAGGTTGATATCAGCCTGGTTACAAAAGGCCTTTTAGAGAGTCACACGATGGAGTAAAGCTTGCCTACTCACTCCTCCCCTGCCCACTGAGAACTCATAGTTGCGGCAAACTGGCCTAGCCTGTACACCCTCTGATCTTGCTTCTGCAGGTTCCTCCTGATCGTGCAGCAAATCACTTTGGTGCAACGGTCGGTTACAAGTACTGTAAATGTATATGCTATCCCCCGTGATTGTTCATAGGCGCGCTGATTTTGCATTTCATAAACTGTGTGGGTTTATAAAATGTGTGGGATAGGTTTTTTTGTTTGTAAAATGAAAAACCTACTAGTTTATAGAATGACCAGCACAGGTTGTGATAGGTTAAGATAGAAATCGACATCCAGGAAGAAACACTTTACAAAATGCGAATTGCTCATCGGAAATGTCCGTAAGAAGCCAAATCCGGATACTTTATAAAATCTTGAGTTTAACATGTTTTCCAAAAATTCTAAATTTCAAGAAATGGCCTCAAACCTCTTGAAACATCAAGGAAAGGCAGGAACTGAAGGAATATGACCAGGAAAATAACTAAGAATTAAAAATTAACTAGCTACTTTTGGTGCACTTTTTCTCCTCTCCCCCTGTCTCTGTGTCTATTCCCTTTACGGGGTTCGAATCGCCACGGTGCCGACCCGCGAGGGCCCAACACCGGTCAACTCCCAACTTCCGAAGCCAGGCTCCGGCCGAGACCAATGTTTGGAGACGGTGGCCTCTCGGCACCCCCCCCCCGTAACAAGTGAATGTTTATAAAATGAGATTACGGGGTTCACCTGCCCTCTATTACTGTCATTCAGTGTCCAAGTTAGTAAAGTTTATAAAATGACGATACTCCAGATCTTATGTAGTTATCCTAAAAAACAAACCCTAATGTTTATAAAATATGTGTTGGAATTTGCATTTTGTAAAGGAAAAGGATCTGCATTTTATAAGCCCACAATCACGGGGGATTATATGCTTAAAAATGCTTAAATATCAAACGTGCAAAGTAAGATGAAATGACACAAGAGGTGCGTACTATCAAACAAAGCCAATCATAAACACTCAAAATCCACGGAAACAACGAAAAACAGTTAATTACAAAGATCTGTGGCACTACCTGAAAGAAACGACCTCTGCTTTGGCCGCGCTTGTGACATGACCCTCCGTCGCTATTCTCCTTGGATGTGCTCTCTTCAAACCAGCTTCCCAACTTCTCCGTGTCATCGGCCTCATCACATTGCTAGATCCGTGTCATAAGCTTGGAACACTGGCCCAATCATCCTCAACTACATTCAAACTGAAGCACTTACACCCAACTGCCCAGCCTCTACTTGTGTAGGCGTTCCTTCTCCAAGCTCTTCCTAGCCAGGGAAACATGTTTGGAAACACTTGGCAGCGGGGCTCTGTCACTGTTCATTCCAACTGGTCAAAGCTTGACGCATTTGCAACTGGCCTGCGGCGTCGTCTCTGCAAAGGTGGTCTCAACAGCGTCCAGGTTGATATCAGTCTGGTTGTAAAAGACCTTTTAGAGAGTCACACGATGGAGTAAAGCTTGCCTACTCACTCCTCCCCTGCCCACTGAGAACTCATAGTTGCGGCAAACTGGCCTAGCCTGTACACCCTCTGATCTTGCTTCTGCAGGTTCCTTCTGCACCTGCAGCGTTCTTGCAATCAAAGGCCCACCAAACTTATATAACTGTCACAGGTTGCTGGCCTCACCATGACAATAGGATACATACGTAGCTTTTGAGGGGGCGGGAAGCCATTATCATTGCTGTGCTGTTTGCATTGAATTCTATCTCTCTTTTTTGGGGATTGTGATCAAAGCTCCCTGGCACCAGTGAGTCACCTGCGACCTATCTGGGGATGTCCTGGTCGACGTTGAACCCCGCCCTTCCGGAGCCAGAGCATTGGTGTTTCTCACATCTTCTGACATCTACCGACTCCCGATCAACCAAGTAAGATATGAATATGCAAAAGTTGACAGCTGGCAGCTGCTATTGTGTTTCTTGGCAGCTGCGCTAGGGAGCACAAATGTCAGCATCTTTTTCACTGCCATAGCCACTTTCGGCGAGACCTGTAGTGGCCGTTGGTCCCACACCTAGTGTGTGATTAAACATGCTACGTGCAGAGGGGAAATTGAACTCTGCTTCCCTTTGCTTAATCGAGAAGGTGAATTCTCTGCATTCCCTTTGTCTAATCTGCTTTGCACGACTTCTTGACTTGTTTCCTCGAATCTGTGCCATGCAGGATCGGTAGGGGGGAGAAGGCAAGGTAGGATGAAAGCAATGGTCGTGAGCCGATACAAGAGGAGGCGAGGCTGTGCCAAGAGGAGGCGAGGCTGTGCCATAAAAACACGAGATAACCTGGCAGAGGAAAGAGGATCATCAAAACTCCAAAATAACCTCCAAACATCTCCAAACTCCAAATGTGCCATTCAAAAATGAATTGCATGTGAAGGTGCACAAAACACCCAGGTCTAGGTCAAGAACGAACCTTTATATAACCTTTAGAAAGCCGTTTGGTTTGTAAACGCCAGTGATGAGGATCTTCATAAGATACTGATACAGTATAAAACAAAAACCTCAGCCAGAAGACCCATTGTACTTCTTAATATGTGTGCAGTGTGCACCATAAAGAAGTTTCAGTCATATAGTTCTTTCCCCGATGCCAGAAAGAACCATCAGCCAGAAACAATAACATGGTTCGAAGTAAATATGTCTAACTATCTTGAGGTGAAACAATACCAAGAAACTTGCAGCCAGAAGAGCAAAACACAAGAACAAAATTGGTTCTACATAGGCAGAGGTCAGAGGCAAAAAAAAGACAGAAATGTCCATCGTATAGATTGGAAAATTCATGGGGGCAAGCCCTTGCTCAGTGGCAGCAAAGGTTTTTCGGTTTCTCATAGGCCCTCATAGGCTAGCAAGTGTCCCAAATACCTGCGACATGCCACTTTCCTTCCAAAAGAGCCATTTCATGTCCCAGAGCCGGGTAATACTGCCTTTACAAATTCAGCCTACGTCAAGAATGACAAAATATGAGCCTCAGTTAAACCCTAGGTTGTGAAAATTGAGTTGACTGTTCCCAAGAGCAAAAACATTCCACCAACGGAACCTTTGGCAGAGTTGCATGTTTGGTTCTACGTCTCTCCCAGACCTGAACCTAAAGTTTGGAACTTAACCATGAAAAGAACATAGGCCCTTTTTTACTTACGCAGGGGGGTTGTGCAATTCCACAAGACAACAATTGGCTGCGTGCTCCCGTTATGTCATGTACGTGAATCTTTCCAAATGTCCAACTGGTCCATCCTCAGTCCAAACACCCACACACTACATCCCACTATCGTGCCTCATTCCATCCAATTGCTTGCGGCGGCGTCTCTACCGATCTAGGCTTCACCTCGTCCGTACTGACGTCAGCCTGACGTGTCATCGTCTGTCAGGTGGTGCGCTGTCAAAGCTCAAAGAGTGCACCCTGTGCTACTAACAAGGCCATGGATTATGATAAGCATATAGTTTTGAAGAGCCGTGGGTCTCGATTGCCTGGCAAATGTCCAAGAGCAAAATATGGACTTCGCCTCTGAATGCTCCGGGGTTGCTTTTGCGGGATCTTCCTGGAAAGCAGTCAGTGCAGTGTTGCTCACGGATCTACTGAGCCAAACACGTTGATAAGATTGGAAGGATTTCTGGAAGTGAGGGCAAAGAAATTAAATTGTAGGCAGCCTGTCTGCAAATGCTGAATGGCAGAATGACAAAGGTTCGGCTATTGGCTATCGTCCTTCACATGTTCTGGCTCACACCATCCAGGCTCCTCACACGGGGTCATCCAGCTTGAAGTAGTGTATACAAAAAAATGCTGAAAGGCGCTGAAAGCTTCATGAAACAACCATAATGGAGCAAAACCATTCAGTCGGCATGCACATCACACGTCCAAGAAAACCTCGCAAGAAAATATGGGACCATCACCTTCCCTGCGCAACCAGGCTTCGAGCTCCCAGGCCACAAGCTCCAAAGAAAACCGCGCCTGAGCTCTTAAACCACATGGGTCAAGGTCAGGCCTTGGATGTCCCGCGTACAAAAATGACCGAACACTGTGTGGAAGATATTGGCTGGGAAAGCCTGCAAGCAGACCGGCTGCCTGATCGCGGGATAAGCTGGCAAAACATGAGCAACCAGGGTCGATGTGAACCACAGCACCAACGTGAGACAAAAAGCCTTCTCCGGGCAGCTAGTTCTTAAGCTGGGCTGGAGAAAGAAACAAACGGGGCGTCGTGATGTTCTAACAGCCAGGCTCAAACTAGCAAGCAGAAGAACTGCCCTGGAAGAGCCATGTGGCACCCATGTCGTCCCAGAAAGCCTTGCACATTCCTTCGCGAAGCACCCGATGGTGGTGCCATGGGTGAAGAATGCATCCAGGAATGCTCGCAACGAAGCAATCGGTGCAATGCTTGCTCAATAACCCTGAAGTCTCACAAATCTCTACTACAGTACACCCTTCTCCCTCTCTCTCTCTGTCTCTCTCTCTCTCTCTCTCCCCATCTGATTGAACATGATTTGCTTGGGATTCAGGCGCAGAACCACCCAACACATGTGACTACTTTGCAGTCCAAAGGGAATCCTTCTGCCTGGTGTCTTCAGGTTCATTCCTCCCTCCCTCAGCAATCACCATCGATTCAGTCACTCCTCACTTCCAACCTTCAACCCTTGCATCGAACATCGTCGAACCAGTTACTAGTTAACTAGTTAACTATAAGTTCAACGCTCTCTAGTTCAACTACCTCAGCTGCCGGCGTGCAGGCGGCAGGCTTCGGTGCACATGTGCCTCCAAGTCATGGCCGCTTCTTTGGACGAAGGGCCATGGACTGAGGTAATGAATGTGATTACACCGCGGATGAAGTCTGACATAGACATGCTCTGACCGCACCAGTTCCAACATGTGGAAACTCACCCAACTCTGCCTGGCTCAGAGGCCCTGAGGGCTGCTGCCATGGTTCGACTCGCAGACACGGTGAGCGGCTGACGATGAGCCCTGCAGTCGAGCGCAGGCGTGGGCGTTCTTCGAGTTCGGATGTTTGTGGCCGTGGAAGTTTCGGGGAGTTTGTTCTACAGCGCAAGACTTCAACTACGCATCCTGCTGGAAGATGCTGGAACGGGAAGTTGAGGGTGGCCTAGTTTTGAAACTTGCTGGCTCAACCCTTGGCATGTGCAATCCTCAACTGCCAAAAGAATCCTGCCCCGTCCCTAGAGACACATGGACAAATATGTGCATGGTCTCAACAGGGACGGGCCGATACTGTCACTATTCCCTACTGCAATATTGGTCTCAAAAAAATGTTGCAAGCCATACCTGTTTGAGGTTGGGGATGCCGGATTGGGGACAAACTAACAGAACTCATGTCAGGCCAAGCCTCTGATGTGTCTCTGCTGTGCGCGCGGCTTGCACAAAAAGGCCTTTGCCCTTTTGTGATCTCTCATCTGCATGCAGTGCATGCACATTGGATTCCTGAACCTAGACAAGGTGCGCTTGGGCATCAAACAGCAAACTGGTTCTGGAAATATACAGCAGATGGAATATGTCTTCCTGCTTGGCCAGCTCGTCTTCCTCTGCTGAGAGCTCCTCAAACTCCCTCTCCATCAGCAGCCTGGCCTCCTGGCCAAAACCAAAATACACAACCCTACTTCCAACGAACTAATACAGTAACAGGCGACCCCGAGAAAGGTCGACCCCATCGCAGAGTCAGCCCTGTCGCAGCGACATTTGACCCTCCCGCTCCTGATGTTGACTGAGCTCGTTGGTCACAGTCCTGAGTGGCTGGGGATCCCCGTCTTTGGGGGGGGTTGATGAACTCTTTCGGTCACTTGGAGGATGAGTTTGCGGCTCCAACTCACCAGCGATGGACTCTCTTTCTGCGAGGGCCGCATTCAGGTCGCCGAGCACCTGGATGTACAGTAAAAGGTGGTGCTGGACAACTTAGCGAAAGCAAACACGAACTTAAAAGAATGCACCACGTTGTAAAAGACATTATGATTGTGTGTACTGTGTACTTCTCTTTTTTGTAAGATATGTGTGTGCTGTAATTACATGTGTGTGTGTATGCGTGTGTGTGTTCTAGACCTTTGCAAAGCTATGTGAGGTGCTTTCCATGAATCGTCTGTAAGAGCCCTCGCCAAGCATCCTGTGGAACCCCAGTTTTCCGCCTGGTCTAACTGGTGGGTCAGGTTCACGGACTCTGCACGGCAACTCTCAGCCTGCCACCCCAGGAGAAAGGAGATCGATCTGCGGGCTAAATTTATTCTAGTACCTAGGACCTAGGAGCTAGATGAGATGTACAGTATATACTTAGTATTGGCTCCCATCCAGTGTGGCCATTACGGATCCTAAACATCCTAAACTCAATGCCTGCTCATGTCCCCTAGAAGCCTGCAGAAAACAGGGTTTATTCCCATGGCCCGGTTCTGCTTCCAATTGTCTCGTTAGTTCCCACGAAGGCGCTTCGGACATGACCAGGCCTCCTGCTCCGCGCGTCCCAGATGCAGTTGCCAAAGCCTGTCCTCAGCGCAACCCAGCGGTAGCGAGCAACATCTTCCCGTCACACCAAACAGCCGCGTGAAATTTGGCAAGAGGGTTGGTCACCCTGAGGCTTGAAGGTGCCTGAGCTGGGGTCAAACTACCTTCTGTAGGCGGACCCTTGCAGGGTCAATCAACCTGGTTGGCATAGTTTAGGAACATGGCTTGACGAATCACAGCTTCAAAGAGCAAGTTCACACCTTTTTGCAGCAAGGCCCTGACACTCAATGGCAGGTCAGTCCTCCGATGATGTCAGCAATGGCAAGTGGTGCTTTTCACCACATACGTTGGCCTCTCAGAGTTCGTGGATAGCTTAGCTGGCCACTAAAGCACTTACAGCTCAGCCCGTCAGAGCACGTAGAGCGCAGCATAAGCAATTGGACTCTGGATCGTCAACGCGCCACCGGCAACAAAGCCCACCACAGCAACGGTGAAAAGCCTTGAATATGGTACCGGGTTGTCACAAGACTCATCCATCTGAGCAAGCATCATGGGGACTTGTGTCACGAGGAGGAGGAACCAAAGAAAGCTCCTGAGCATGGTGGGCGAAGGTCTGCGCACCACTGGCGTTTCTTGATGTCAAAAGAGAAGACAAGCGAATCGTCGTCTCCTTGTCACCTCGAATGCTTTCTGGCCGATAGAAAATGTTAATGCTTGGAACTTCAACTTTGGGATTTTGGACTTTGGGACTTGGTTTGGAGGGTGCGCCAATTGGAGGGTGCTTCACTTCAACAGGAACTCCTTTTTAAAAAAATTGCAAAAACTGGTTTGAGCAAGGATGTGGCCACGCGGGAGATTGCAATCTCAGCTGGTAGGGGTAGTATGGCTGATGATCGCAGCCCGGTCGGTGTGAGTGACTTTCTTGGAGGATAAGCTTGTAGCACAGGAGGTTTGGCTATTTTTGGCCGCTCGAACCAGAACGGCCTGCGAAGGAATGCTGTTCCTTCCCGAAGACCACATGAGAAAGCAAAACCGTGTTACCTTTGCCCACATCTGACCTAGAATCAAAAACCACTTCGGAAGCGTCTGGAACGGTGGCCAATCCCCCCTCACACCCTCCGGGCAAAATGACTGCTGAAGCCTGGTTTGAGGCTGGGACATTCTGCGCCAGCGACAGCATGTGGCATCGCAGTTCCGATGCCAATGCTTGACACTCCTGTCACATGCCAGCTGGCTGACTCGGAGTGGAGGACCTTTAATGTAAAACGGTTCCCTCCCAAACACCATCAAACACCCCACTAACATGCAATACACGCAAACCCATTGTTAGAGCGGTGCTTGGATCAGGTCCTTCCATGACGTCGGTGATTGGGGGAGGAATGCAACCCGAGTGAGCCAATATCTGCAACCAGTCCAGGTTGACCAAGTGCTAGTTGGCAGGAGTGAATTGGTTTAATAAACAAAAACACTGGACGGGACGAAAGGTCCAATTCCTTTCTCGGTCCTGCTTGTGACCTGCCAGGGTGACATCGGCGAGGACCGTGAGAGCGCGATCTACCTCGCGCTCGCGGGACAGCCATGGTCAGTGCATATGAAATCTGGCCGTTGCAGCCCTTACATTGGCCCTTTTGCACGAAAAAACCTGCACGCTGCACAAATTTACTGAAATCTGTTCTTGAGCCTGCTCCCAGTGGGCAATGTCGATGTCGTGGGGGCACTCGGTTCCTGCAAGGAGCGGCATGAGATGCACCAAACTACCCAACTGCGAAACAACCCATACCCCACCAGCACCCATAAAACAACAGAACGGGTGCTCCTGGGAGATGTTTTTCATGCAAAAAATGATGCAAAAAAACACTGTTAAAACAGTGATTTCTTGCAAAGTCCTCTCCAAAATTGAGGCTTTGAGCTATGTTTTGATCAATTTTGTGAGAGCCAAGCCTATCCCAGTTTAAAGGGAAAAAGTAGTTCCCGGGCAAGCCGGCGGCGGAAATTTCCAAAAGAATACACCTGTACGAAATGGGCATGTGGCAGGCTGATTCGCCGAGCTGCGATGTTCTGTGACAAACCAAGTTGGAACCGACCAACGGAGCGAAAGCGAAGCAGCCACCGTCAACTGTCTCGGAAAAAAAACGCTGTTCATGCATTTTCTTTGCAAAATACAGAATAGAGATGACTCAGCCGCGTACTAAAGTTGTCTACAAAGTCGCCAGTTCTCAGCTTCCAGCTCCACGGCTTGCTCCGCGTGCTAGAGTTGCACTACAAAGTCGCCAGTTCTCAGCTTCGAAACAAATGAAACCTCTAATAACAATGGAGGGACGATTCCGAGCATGATCCGACCATGATCCGAGCATGACCCGAGACCGTCTCGCACACAGCGTTCCACAAAGCTAGACTTGCCAGCTTCGGAGCCACCCCTTCTATTGAAAAACGCAGCATTTCGTGCGTCCGCTATCTCTCGAGAACGCATTTTGTATTGCGCCCGCGACGAAATCTGCACATGGAGGTTCACAAGGTGCTGTGCCCGCCACGAAATCTGCACATGAAGTTCACAAAGTGCTGTGCCTGCTACGACTTCAGCACATGGAGGTTCACAAAGTGCTGTGCCTGCTACGAACTCTGCGCATGGAGGTTCACAAAGTGCTATGCCTGTCACGAAATCTGCACATGGAGGTTCACAAAGTACTTCGCCTGCCACGCAATCTGCACATCGAGGTTCACAAAGTGCTGCGCCTTATGATGGGTGGTGTATGAGTGGTTCTTGAATGTGGTGCATTGATGAGTGGTGTATGATGAGTGGTGTATTGATGAGTGGTGTATGATCAGTGGTGTATGATGAGTGGTGTATGAGTGGTTCTTGAATGTCCGTAACACGGAAATTTCGTACACTAAACTTCCTTTGGGCAAAAAACCATTAAACCAAAAACCTAAAAAAATAGAAATAAAAAAAACTGTTTGAGACAAAATGCAGCCAAAAAAAACATAGTGCCCATTTTGTCTCAAACATTGGTGTTTTTGTTTTTTTGTTTTATTTTTGGTTTATTTGTTTTGTGGTGTTTTTGTTTATTTGCTTTTTTGTTCTTTAGTACTCTCTCTAAACTGGGATGGGTTTGGATCTCACAAAATTGATCAATCAATAGTTCAAAACCTAAACCTTGGAGAGGCTTTAGCCAAAAACCACTGTAAAACACAATGTTTTTGCTTCATTTAACGGTGGAATGTGGTTTTAAATTCCAATTCAATTGATTTTGGTATTAGGTTTCAAGTAAAATGCGCTCAGAATTGTTGGTGGAAGTTGATTTCTCATTAGTTTTCCATAACAAATGTGTTTAAGATTAATTGTGGGTTTTTACAAACTAAGTTTCATTTATATCATTTTCAAAATCATTGGGGAAATTGATGTTCATATTAGGTTTCAATTAACATTTCTTCAAAATTAAATGTAGAAAAATGAATGTGTAATTCAACTTCGGTTACATTCCTGTTCAAGATCATTGTGGCCATTGATGTTGAATTTAAAACCCTACTATATTTCATTGTAGAAATTCGTCATTGCTTAAAAATTAAAGTCCTTTTCAAAATCATTGTGGAAACTAGTTGTTGTTTAGATTTTCATCTAGGTTCTTTTCAACAACATAATTTGGTTGAATTGCTTGTGTATTGGATATCAATCAAGACCCTCTTAGAATTGATTGTGAAATTAACTGTCAGTTAACAGTTAATGGTGGAAATCAATCCTTATAATTGGTCCTTTTATTTGATGTTGCCTTGTAGTGGGGGGCAAACAGATACAAAATCAATTCAAGTTAGTCAAGCACCACACTTTCCACAATCAATCTTAAATCGAGTTTAAGCACAACCTGATTTTAAATCAAAGCCACCACTAACTGTGAAAATGGTTTCGGCGAAAATGTTACCTAAATTCTAATTGTAAAAATTAGGGATTTTTATTGCAATCTAATATGTAATATATCTAATAAATAGCAATTTCCACAATCAATGTTAAATGGATTTTGATTGAAATCTTCTAGTTTAAGTTCACCTAATTCTACTTTAATTCTTGTTTAGTTAGTGTAAGAAAACACATGTTACAAAACCCTATATATATCTTACAGTGTTTTTTTGCCCTAGGAGCGCTGGGATTAAGACAAGAACTATGCTTTTGAGTAGGTAGTATTTGTTTAAAGTAATCCCATGAATAATCATTGCTATATTGAAACTGTTTTATGTACAAGTTTCCAATTCAAAAGGTTCCCTCTAGATTTGATCACTTCTGTGAAATATAAAGTTTTCATTTCAAAAGTTTTCCCCTGGATCTCTGGAATTGGTCATGCTATTTTCAATAAGCAACACGTATGTATGTAAGTGTTTTTTCAAAAGCTTTCCTTCAATGAACATACAAAACTCTAGGAAATCTACTTTCCCATTGAATCTAGAAATGTATAGTATTATATCTTCATTCGCTCATGATGCTACATTCATTGTGGGCCGAGAGAGATTTACCTGATCAGATTTATCATTGGCGTTGCACATTGATAGTGGGCAGACGAAGAGCTGTTATTTGTTGTCATTGGCATTGGACATGGGGACTGGGCACCGGCAGGTCCAAAAATTGCGTCTCGCCTAGTTTTCAGAGCAGTTTTTGAAGTGTTGCACGGTATTTACAGTGTTTTTAAGGGTGTTGAGCTAGTGTGTGCTCTCCCAAGCACACCCACCCTCTAAAACAACCACATCGGACGTCTTTGATCTCCATGCGTTGCACAATGCAAATATGACAGCCCAGCTGTCCTTTGCACTCATGTGAGTCTTCCACCACCATTATTGTTTGCGCTAGTGTGTTCTTTTCTTGCGGTGGGTTGTCTGTCAATGTTCCTCCATAATTCCATAGCCATGGTTTCCTGGTCTGTGCACTTGAGTCCCCATGTTGGTTTGTTCAACCATGCACTCGGCTGAGCCAAAACAGCATAAAACAATTAAAACAACACTTCGTTTTTGAACTATTCGCACCATACCTATCTACGAAAGACATGTTGCACACTCAAAGGTTCATTCGCTGAGTTGCGTCACCCGGACCGTTTGTAGAAATTACGGTGAGTTACCACGGGGCACAACCAATTGCTGGGGCACGCGTGTGTTGAGAGGGATGTGAAAACCAGTCATTTCAACCCCCTAGTCTCGAGCAGTTTTCGCACCTGCCACAGGTTTCAACGACTGCAATTTGTTGGTTTTGTCTCTGAATGCGCTCAGGCCTGGGCTCTGATTCAACCCCTTGTGGTGAAAACCTTGCAACACTGCACTCATTGCGCTGGGGTCACCACAAGTTGATCCCAGAACCAGGTGTGAGCTTGGCAGATTGGGAAAAGGATCATGGCCCTTGTCACCTTGGGACTCGACAGATTTGTGCCCAAGGCGCCTGCGGTATCGTGTCATGTGAAACAGTTCTACACTTGATCATAGCCATAAGGCCGTGAGGCATGTCTGCACAATTTCACTCCGGTCATCCTCTGATTTGTCGCTCTGGGACACCGGAAAAAAACAAGTGCTCAGCCACAGCAGCTGCTGCACTTTCCGAAGGCATCTTTTGGCCTTGTATGCTCGCCTTCTCTCAGATGTGGACATCCTTCTCGATGGAACTTCCTGCCAGTCTTCGTGATGAAGATGGTTTCTGGCATCTCCAAGCTCTTGATTCGAGCCAGGTGTCTCATGATCTCCTGGTCCTTGAACTTGACCATCTTCTGCAGCTTCTCGATCTCGCCGGCCATCTCGGCATTGTCAGTGATCCTTGGTGTCAGCGGTGCTGGTCTCTCTGATGATGCTGCTGTCTTTCTGTCCAGCTTCATCTTCAATTCGGCATTCTCATCTTCAAGCTTCACTAGTCCAGCTCTCATGTCGCTGACCGTAGATTCGAGCACCATTTTCCTTGCATTGACCGCTGTCATGTCATTCTTGAGGTTCTTCAGCTCGAAGTCCTTGTCATCGTACTTCTCCTCAAGCTTCTCATACTTATCTTTCCACCATTTGTTGTCAAACTTGAGGCTGTCGATCTCCTGTTGCTGTAGGTGTGCATCTTCTTCGCTCTTCTTGTTCTTTCGCTTCAGCGTCTCCTTCTCGTCAATGACCTTTCGTGCAAGATCTTCCCATGTGTCTCGAGGACTTGCTTTCCTCTTCCGTTGGAAGGATGCTCCTGAGGATGATGGTTGATCTCCTTCTTGATCGACATCCATGTCATCGTCGTCGTCGGACTCGATCTTCACATGTTGGATTCTTCTCTTCTTGCTCATCCAACTTGTCACCATTCTCTCAAGCATCACCGCCAGAATCACCGTGATGAAAATCATGAGGTACACGGAGAAGTAGCTTTTCTGCTCTTGATTCTCCAGTTCAGTGGATTGCGCATCCACCAAAGTCCCAAATGCTAAAGTCGGCATCATTGCCGCCAGCATCTTCTTGGAAGTGGCAAACGCTGCCAGTCCCACAAGCACTGAAGCATGTGTCGTTCGCACCATGCTCTCATCCTTCTCTGCCTTCAGGATCATCTCCTCGTCCTTCAGCATAAGGTCGTGCTCGTCAAAGTCGATGGTCGGAAGAACCCTTGTCACAATTGGGTGCTTCTTCACTCCATGCAGTCTGATTAAACCTGTTGTCAACAACATCAGCATCATTTCATGGACCATGGACTTGGTGAGGGAATCGGCAAGCATGTAGTTCGTTGGGACCAATGTCACCATTCGAACTCTGCCATCCAGTCGTGCTTCCTTTATGGACAAAACATAGAGCCGCTGTGTTTTATCCTGAGGCATCGTCTTGCTGCCTGTGATGAGCTCATAGACATCTCGAGCATCTCCATACATGTCCAAAGGCATCTCTGGATTCCCAGCCGTCTGGATCTTGATGAGGTCCTTCAACGATGGAGGATGTTGAGGATGGAGCATCTCGCTGAGCCTGATCATACACAAGGTTGCAGATTCCAAGGCGTTCACCATGGCTAGTGTCTCACCATGTGATGTGCTGTAGCTCACCCTCTTGGCTTTTGCTCCATGTGAATGCAAAACATGCATTACTCCTCCATGCATGAGTTCGTGCTCCTCAGTCTCGCAGGTGTGCTCAAAGTCAATCGTGATGTTCCGCCATTCGTCATCGGCCAAAGCAATGACTACACCTTCCTGGGCATAGTTCCGGCCCTTGCTGGCTGCCGAAGCATCATGGAAGCAAACTAGTCGTCGATGCTTTGTCCTGAAGTAGCGGTAGTGCAAACCAACATCTGCAAACTCCTTCACCTTCATGAGCACATTGTTTGCCTGCTTCAAATCCTTGATTTCTGCTACTGTCACTCGTGATTGTAGTGCTGAAACATCCGCAATCACGTCCAGCCGTGTCGCTGTCACCCTAAGAAGTGCTCCTAGGATGGATCGCAGATCTGAGACTTCTGCTGGTGTCAATCTGGAATCATCTTCTCTTGCAGGGACAGGTGCAGGTGTAATCTTTTCTGAAAACTCCTGCTGGCTGATCATGTAGCCGTCTGCAGTACGAAGGTACTCACAACCACAATGAGTGAATGGCAATTGCTGTCGTGTCACTTTGCCAAACTTCTTGACAAAGGAATCATATGCATCGTCCAGCCACTCAGGCGTTCCAGTGATCGCCAAGTCATCCACATGCGTCGTGACCATTGCAATGTTCTCACCATCCTTCTTCCATGTCCAACAGTTCTCATCTAGGTGAGATGGTTCCGCGCCGCTTTCTCGGATGAAATCATGTAGAGAAAACTGCCAAGCCAATGGAGCGTCATTCAACCCATAAACAGGCTTCAAACATAGCAGTCCATAGTTGTGCAACTCTCGTTCAGGAACCTTGAACTCGTCAGAGAATTCCGCCAGATGTCGCCAAACATTAAGTGGAGGAAATATCACCACCATGCGGACAGGTGCTTGAATGCCTTTCTTCTGCAGGGTCTTTCGGATCTTCTCAAAGTCAAAGCCCTTGAGAAATGCTCCAGCAATGTCCAGGCTTTCCAGGCTCATCTTGCGTGACCATGATGCTCTGGATACCAGGATCCTTTGGCTTAGCCTTGTCGCAGTCGTTGACCTTGTCGTGAGCTCTCCTTTCTGTCCATCCAAACAACCACGCGCACAAAGTCGAGACTTGATGCGAATGCTCTTGTCAGGATAGCGCTTTCGCTTGCGAACCCACCGTGCATCAATCTGCACGTACTCTCCTGTGATCTTCATTTTGTGGATCTTTGCGAATGCTTTCTCGTCAACAAACTGCTTGATCTCGTTGCGATCAGCTTCTTCAACAGCAGGCCAAATGTCGGCCGTGATGTCTGCTTCTTCAATGTTGCGAGTCTCCTGATCTACCTGGTAGATCTCTGCAGTCCTGAGGCATGCGTATGCTTGATGCGTCCTTTTGTAGTGGAAGTGGAACAATTGAGGAAGCTTCTCTTTCTCCCGGAGATGTTGTTCCACCATGAACTGATTGCATACCTCTGACCACATGTGACAACCTGTCAACCAATCATGTCCACAATCGATCTGAATGATGTGGTTCTCAGTCATGTTGACATGCAGGTGTCGTAGAAAATCGAGCTCTTTCTTCACATTATATATGCGCTGCCTCTTCTTCTCGGGTGCCATGACCACTGTTCTGGTCTCTGGTGCATCTCTCTTCTCGCCTCTGTCATCGGGAACGTTGACGTCCATCTTGTCGTCATCCTTGTTGATGGTCGACTGGCTTGCTGGCTCTTCCACAGGATCAGGATGATAGTGGAACAAGTAGATGGTGCACATCTCTTTACGAGAGTAATTGGAAACCCTCTTCATCTTCAGGAATCCGTCGGAGAAGTGCTCTTGCACGGCGTAGCCTTGTCCTCCATGAATCCATGAGATGAGATGACCAACTGTGTTCGATGGAGGCTTGATGTTCCGCAAGCTTCGTCCAAGTAGAGCTCCATGGACTTGATGCTTGCTCAAACCTTTGTAGATGTGCTGCACCCACAACATGATCTTCGTTGCGTGATCATCCTCACGAGGGAAGAATCGCCACTTGCCATTTCTCTTCAGCCAACCATAGATGTTCGTCTTGTATTCTGTGAGGCTTTCGACAAATCTCATCAACTTCCTCAAGGCATCTTCTGTCTCCATGTTCGGCAAGGTGAAGTGGAAAATGCCCTTATAGGATCGGATGTGTCTGAGTGCTACCAGATATGGCTTTCCTTGATATTGGATGATTGCCACACCGTCATCAGCGTCCAGCCGTAGCAACAAAGCAGGTCCACGCCAGCCAGGGTCATTCTTCACCTCTCTGTAGAATTCCACCTCTGATGTACCTGCAATGAGCTGGTCGAGGTCGAGCTGGTGTGTCCTGCCTGGTTCTGGCTGCTCGTGCTACACGATCTTCAATCACAGCTTGATGAGCTTGTGCAAGTGCTGTTTGCCGGATTCTCATCGCCTTCTCAAAGACAGTGACATCTGTCTCCTGGGCTCCAACAACACTCATAATGCCACGGCTCTCAGGATCATAGAAGCCATTTGGAAGAGTGCCAAACACTGCCATGGATGGTGTCACGCCACCGTAGGACAAGGTGATGTTGTGAGCCATGCAGCTCTCCTGAGCTATCTCTTCATTCTCTGGCGCGAGGCCTTGTCGTTGAAGTTCTGCTCGTAGCTTGTACATGGTGAGCTTCATCAGACCCACATGTCGTTCCACCAAGCCAGTGCCAGTGTGCTGTTCGGATCCATGTCCTTGTGTTGTGCCGCGTGGCGCACGCTCAATAGAGAGTCTTTCAAACTCTGCTGCAGTCTCATGTGACATCAAGGATGCCTGTTGATCGAGAACAAGTCGCCGAGGTGGTCCAAAGAGAAAGATCCATGCCTTCTTAAATGCCGTCAGCAAATCGTCAGATTCTTGTCCTTCAATCGTCGTGCACATTTTGAAGCGAGTTGCTTCATCACAAAGAAGAATGAACCAGGTGTTCTCCCACATGAATAGGTCCATCTGTACTGATTCATTGAAACTGCTTGCTCCTCGTGCTCGAACTTGTGGACGATTAGGAAGTCTGACATACTTCCTGCAGATGGCACAGCATTGAACCGCCTCAGTCGCCAACTTGATGACTTCAGGTGACATTCCAGCTTTCTGCAGTAAGTTCGTGAAGTCGGAGATCGGAGAATGCCAAAGCCGCTCGTGAAGACCAAGTAGGAGTTGCTTGACCTTCGTGTGGTTCTCGTCTTCCATGAGCTTAGGAATGCGAACCAACACTCTTCGCAAGTTGTAGTTCGGCTTCAATGGTTTGATCTCCTCAAATGACTTTGTCTGCAGTTCTTCATCTTCATAAGGTGCAATCTGAGTTGGATCTCGTTCAGCTGGGTCTCCTGGTCGATCGAGTACCACTTGGGCAGGCTGCACGATACCAGGTTCATCAGGTCTTGCTCTTGGCCTTGATGCTGGTGTTGATGGCGAAGGCGCCATATCGTGCTCCACTCCATAGATGGTGATTGCCCAGTCATCCTCGTCGAGTGCTGCGTTGATCTGGCTGAAGCTCATCTCTCGCAAATTTTCTGGAGGGTGAATGTCCCATGCTTTCACATTGCCTCTCACTTGCATCCGTAGGTATGATGATGTCAATGGAAGCTTAGGCTCTGCTGATGCAAGATGGAAAGGTCGGAGTTCAATCTTCACTCCTTTGACTTGAATCAAGTCCTTGAAGAACTCCTTGAAGAGGCTCATGAGCATAGGATTGTCCAGCCAGTGAACATAGTCGATCTTTCTTCTTGCTGCTTCATTGAAGACACCCATAGTGGCATTGATGGTTTCGAGGAGGAGCTTCTTGAGCATGTGTGTAGTTGGCACGGAGAGCGCTTTGCTGGTGAGGTTCTTGATCTCCACTCCCTCATAGAGCTCCGCCTCGGCCTCTTGCTTCCACTTCTTCATGGCATCCATTTCAGTTTCAAGTTTCTTCTTTCTTCGTGGGTTTTCTTCGGATGGCCATCGTCCATGTCGACACTGTCCAGGCACCAAAGTGTGCTCTATGTTGCGAGGACAATGACGTCCAAGCTGGCATCGGACACAATCATAGTAGTGACCAAGCGTCACTGCGTAAGCATCATGTGGCCAAGTTTTCAGCTTGAGCAGGTTCATATAAGCCAGGTACTGGATGATGTCCTGCTTCATGCGCTGGCACATTCCTTTTGGGTAGACTGCTGACATCGAAGTCCTGGTCAGACCAGATGGGCCTGTGCCTTTGAGCTGAGTGTGTGGAACACCGCAATGACCTCCGCATCTAAGTCCAGTGTGCTTCCAACGAATGTTGGATCCAAAGCCAGTGGGCTTCATGATGGGGTAGCCGTGTTCATCTTGAGCTCCATGCATGCACTGGTCCACTCTCTGTCTGCTCTTGTTGCCAGGAATTCGTTGCAGTCGTAGAGGATTCTCTGGAAGTTCTTGCCATGATTGTGCTCCATAAGGTTGTTCTATGTTGTAGCCACGGCCATTGGCATCTTGTCGTGCAGAAAGATCTTGACATAGTTGTAGAGCTGGTCTATCTTGTAGACGTTCACACATCTTCTCATCAGGATCTTTCGTAGATGCCGCGACTGACCATGGTGCACAGTCCGGAGACATATGAAGCACTCCAGGTTGGAACTCTTCGTAAGCTGCGTGGATCATACCACGATGGCTTGCTACCCGCATGTCCCAGCCGTACCGGTAGTCGACGGGGAAACCAACCATGAGTCCAGCAAGAAGCAACGTCAGCGACAATCTTCCACTGCCACTGAACAACTCCCAGAAGTGCCATCGCAATCCTCGTCCTCGAACTCTCTTGAACCAGCTGTCAAAGTTCTTGGGAGTCACCGGCGTCAATCCGCTCTTGGTGTAGAACTCCTCAGGGATTGCTTTGTATCGTTTCTTCAACTTGGCTTGATCTGCCGTCTCGGGGATCATGTCGCCAGTGTAGCTGAGAAAGACGTTCTTCTCTTCATCATAGCTTGCCTCACGTAGGCCTTGTTCATCATGAATTGCCGGGGCCAAAATGGCAGGTCCGGCAGGGTGCTCGTTGATCAAGTGGTTTGAATTCTTCGCAGGCTCTTTGCTCTTGTCGTTCTTCATGCACTGCTCTGCCAAAATGGCTGATGGTGAAACTTCGTCCTCGGAGTCACGCTCTTCTGCAATTGGTGATAGGCTCTTGTTCTTCTCGCTGTTCATGAGGTCGTAGGGTTCCTCGGACTTCTTCTGCTGTTCCTCATCGATGAAGTGAATCTTCCTGGAAGGAACAGGATTCCGTAGTTCATCTTCTTCTCCATTCTCGCAAGCCAAATGATCACAACCAACATCATGATCTTGCCTCTTCATTGGGCCTTTGTCTCGTTCATGTTCGCGATTGTAATCACACCGGTCATCCTCTGCCGCCGTCTGGGAATGGAAGCAGTGTCTGACCCGTGGTTGCACGTCAGGCCAAACTTTCGAAGTGATCTCGGTGATCTTCTGGAAGAAAGCGATGGCCTCGTGCTTCGAAGCTCTTGGAACCTTCTCGTTCTGAACGTTGTCACAAGGCAGGATGTAGTGTCCAGAATCTGTGAGCAGGATCCTGAAGAACTTCACGTGGTTGACCTCTGCATCCATGGCGTCCTTGGTGTTCAGAACAAGCATGCCATCACCATTCTCAAACCAATCTGTCAAGATTGATGCACCCAATCGACGAAGAGTCGGGTTGCCAACCAGTGCTGGGCATAGGCTTCCAGCTCCACCAATGACCTCCGCCGTGTAGGTGATGGGTTGTCCTGCGGTCGCCATGGTCAACGTGACCTCTCCGAGAGTTGACTCGCTGTTTCCTGAAATGCCGGAAACTGGAGTGATCTTGTTGCGGTTGACCTCCATCTCGCCCATGGCTCTTGAGCATCCTGAGGGCCTCGCTACCAACCAGCCCGGATGCAGCTCCGGGATCGATGAGCAAACCATAGCGTTCTTGCCCATGGATGGTATGGTAGCTCATCTGTGTCTCTTCTTTCTTCATGTTGAAGACCATGAAGTTCATCTTGAGCTTCTTGTCATAGTGATCCTTCGTAGTATACTCAGGCTGACCTGAATATCCCTCAGTTGGCTTCTTGAAGTCCTCATCCTCGGATGACGTATGGATCACGAAGCTCTCGGCCTTCTTGGTCGTCTTGACCTCCTCGGAGCTTGTGGCAACTTCTTGCGGAGTTGAGGCATCAGGAATGCCTTCGCTGATCGACAGACCACCACGAGGCTTGTAGTTGTCCTCCTCCTGGTAGGCGTAGTAGTCGCCTTTTCGACCAAAGCCTTTTCCTCTTCCTTTGCCTTTGCTTCTCCAAGGATACTTGCTCTTGCCTTTGCTCTTTCCTTTGAAGTTTGGTCGCCATCTCCAGAAGCCTTTTGACTTTCCTTTTCCTTTGTAGTTGTGGCTGCCCTTCTTGTTCTTGCCCTTGCCAAGTGGACAATCTCGAACTCGGTGGAACTTGCTGCCACAATTGAAGCAGCCATCATCACTGCCATTGCCTTTTCCTTTGTAGTAGGCTTCGTTGTACTCGCCCGAGACATTGGAGTCGCTTGCTGAACCGGATGTCATGCCAGCCTCAAGGTCCACCTCTTGCCATGACTCATCGCTGGCATCATGGTTCTCATAGTAGTTCTCGTCGTTGGCGTACTCCTCATAGACCCATTCACCTTCATCGGCCTCTTCATAGCCATACCACCATGAATCCTCGGCCTCATAGTCATCGCCCCAGTCCTGGTAGTAGGCGTCGTAGTCGCCATAGGACTCATCATTCTCTTCATAGAGGATCTGGGCGTCATCAGGTTCTCGCCGATTAGGGTTGATGCGCAATGCCAGAGCTCGAGCGTCGTTGAAGCGAGTGTAGTCGCCAGCAACCTGCAGTTTGATGTCATCAACCGTCTTGGATGGCAAGCCAGAGTTCTTGAACCATAGGAAGAACTTGCCGACATCGTTCAACTGCAGTCCAGCTCTGTCATGAGCATCATCATACCGGCTGTCGAACTCGACGCTGTATTCAGACAGGCTGAGCTTCCCTCTTGCAAGGCCAAAGAACTTGTCCAGGGCTTGTGTCGCCAGATCTTGGTCTTGCTGACCGAATGCTGTGCGGAGTGCATTGGCCAAGAATTGCACTCCTGAGGGAATGTGGTTCTGGATGATCACATTGGTCGCTGGGTCGCGGACTTCATCCACAGCTAGTCGAACCAGCGCTGCATCGCCAACATCGAAGGTGCCGTCTGGCCTTGGCACTCTCAAAGACATGGCGATCGTGGATGCTCGACCATAGAGTCGTCCAGCCACCAGTGGACCGATGGCTTCATCCTCCACATTGGCGATCCGGTACCAAAGCTTCAGCTTGTCGAAGTAGGTCCTCAAGGGATACGAAGCATCACCTGGAATCCAGCCCGGCGGAATGTCCCGCCGATACTCCTGGAGCGGAATGCTCCCAGAGCTGGGTGGATTCATAGTCCAGCAATCTTGTAATCGATGGAGTCCACGGGGCCTGTGATGAGGTTCTCAAGGATGTAGTATTTATTCCTCTTCGGTTCAACCCCAAGTGAGGTAGTTTTCTGTGTTGTTTGTTCCTCTTGGGTTCAACCCCAAGTGAGGTAGTTTTCTGTCCTCGTCAGAGCCTTCTGACTTCTCTTGCCACCGACCGAGCAGGATCTCGATCTCCTCCTCCAAAGGCCCTGCAGACCAGAGCCTACCGCGCAACTCGCGGTAGCAGCCAAGCAGAGCGCCAGCAGCCTATGGCGGCGCTGGAAGGATCGGCAACGGAGCACTAGGCTCCGCTACCAAACTCGACAGATTTGTGCCCAAGGCGCCTGCGGTATCGTGTCATGTGAAACAGTTCTACACTTGATCATAGCCATAAGGCCGTGAGGCATGTCTGCACACTTTCACTTTGGGCTAAAATAAAAAATCCTCAAAAATCACTGAGGAATTCTGGTTCCGGCTGGTAGGGTTTCCGATACATCCATAAGTTGGAGGCCCTGCACGTGAAGTTTTGGGATGATGTCTGAACGGTTGCGGGCCAGGGTTCTTCGCTCCCTCGGTCGGAACACAGCGGGCACAAACCCGATCCTGTGCGTGGCGCTTTTCGTATCACTGGGTCTTGTCCCGTTGCTCGTTTGCAGGTTTTGCGGGGTCACTGTGGGTGGACACAGGATCGGTCAGTTCTTGATCAGGTGCTGTTCCAGTCCAACCCACACCCCGCATAACCAGAGAGTTCAACTGAGCAGCACTCCATGTACCAAATGTGACCCAGCGAAACGTATCCGTGAATTTGCCATGGTGGGCTCATAGGACGCAAACTAGTCAAACTAGCAAGCGAAGGCGTAGGAGACCTGCTCCAAATAACCCGGCTGGAGTTGAACCACTGAAATGGTAGGAAAACGTGACCGATGATCACGGTAGACGAAAGGCACCGGCGCGATGTGAAGGAAAACTTGCCCACGCACCACTAAAGGCCTCACACGGGTCCTTCTACAGAAGCGTGGGTGATAGGGCTACGGTTCTAAATGTGTCCAATTGTGTGGTCGCATCGGCGACAGGGTTGTCTCAACTCGGCGGCCGTTCCCACCTCACAAGCAACGCCCGGTAACGAGGTTTGTGGCTGTTTGTGGCGGCTGCACATGTAGTTTTGACTGGCCAGAGCTCACCAAGCCTCCGTATGACCTGATTGGTTATAAACGAGCACAGATTGTTCTCAAATGACGACACATGGTTACCATGCAGTGTGCACTTGGCCCAGTCATTTGCAAAGCCCTGCCGGCCTTTTGGAGCGAGCAGCCGTTTTCGGTCGAGGAGTTGGTGCCACCCCACTCCCATTTGCTACTTGAACTTGGCGGCCCAACTTGCCATCGAAACCACCATAGCCCGGCTGCATCAAAATGTTCGACTCTAGCAGGGGGCCGCTTTG